CTCCTTATCGTTGCTTCTCTCTCTTTTTCCCGGCTATTTTCATTAATGCACTCACGCAACTAACACGTGAAATATCTTTGGAATAAATTTCTCCCTTGCAAACTTCCATCTATCCAGATCCATCCGCTTCGCTCGCGACAATTTAGTCTCTCCTCTCTGATGAAGCGAAGAGAGAGACTGGATTGAAGGACTGGTCCTTTGAAGTACGATTTCCGATAATTCGATCGCTCCCTCGAGACGATCTTTTCTCTCCTCTCGAGTCCCGGAGCTTAATCCGCGCGCTCTTTTTTTTTCTCTTTCCATCGCGATATAGACCAGGACCACCCAGTAGATCGTCCTGGAATCGCTCTGGTCGCGACGATAACGAGGATTGCCGCACTGACTCTTAATACAATTACGGTTGATACGGTTGATCTCGCTCCAGTTGCGAAATCACTCGACATGAGAGCAAAGTGCCGCTTTTGCGACGCTTTATTCTCCTAACGAAGAGGCCTCTTAATTGCCATCTTGTACGAAAGCACGTGCGACGATCCAATAAATGAGAATTTATCCGTTCCTGTCGCGTTAAAGTGACAAATCGAAATGTCATATTTTCATTCCAGTCGTATTATTCGGGCGGCGCGAGAGAGCTTAACCTTTCAATCATTTTATCGCCATCGCGGACCGATAGATAACGTTATTCTCCGAGGAGCGTGCTAAGGTCGAGCTATTTCTGCGAGGGTTGTAAGTTACCAATTTGGATACTTGATAAACCCACCGGGAATCGCATTTCGCGCGTCCCGCGAAATGAATTCGCTTCTCTCGCTCTCGATCTGACGGAAATAATTATGAGCCCGTGCTTTAATGAGAAAAAGTGTCATAACGCGATGCGCTCGCAAATCGTTTTAATGTTATTCAAGATGGCGCGGGCTCGCCTGTCACGCCCCAATAAACGCCAAACTGATTTTCTCTACGTGTTATACGACGCGATATCGTCCAAACATCAAATATATTGTATATTCTCGCTCTCTCTCTCTCTTTTTCTCTTCTCTCACGCATGCGATAGCCTTGAATCGACATTCGCGTGCTCTCGACATATCGTTACCGCCTGTCACGACGCTCTAATTTTTGCACCGTGGCAAAATGTATAGCGCATGCTTGACAATAATAACGCGTTTGCCTATAAATACACACGGAGCGTGCACTTTTACGTCTCTATGAATTTATTTCACGAATCTCGAATGGCGATTCATGCGCTATTAAATTTCACGGCTCGACTGGCTCCCGATGAATCTCGATATTCGCTTTGAATGTCATGTTAGGATGATATGTCTACTAATTTTCTTAAATTACACGGTGATTCTCTACCTCGATTCAACAACCTAATCGGATGCTGATTACGCAAAATCTTTAACGAATCTAATAGTGTCGCGTTCAATCCGCTCCGGGTATTTCGGGAGCGACGCGAATTCGGTTATCGGAATTTAAATATCACTCTTTGATACTTTTAAAGATTTTTCCTATATGAAATCGAATAATAAAAGGATTATTTGTACACGTATTCTCTTTTATAGATTGTGTTAATTAAATAAATGCGAGATCGGTAAATATTTTTGCGAAGATACCTGTGTATTTTTTTCTAAAAAAAAAAGCGCATGCGAGGATTAACACCGGCTGTTTTTGTTTACCGCATTGTATCAGAGAAAAAAAAGTAATTAATTCTTTGCCTACAAAGTAGCGTAGGTGTATGCAAGCTTTCGAAATTTTATACAAAATTCATCTGTGGCAAGGGTGGGAATGCAAAATTGTTATTTCCCGGTTCGCCACTAAAAACTGGCTTGCCAAATTAATGCGGTGCGCCGGATATAAACAGAGAGAGTACAAGGCCGAGGAAAATGTTGCGCGATAATATCTGCATCGTAAAAAGGCCAGGCAGGTTTTGCATAATACCAAAAATATCGTACGTACGCACGCACAAACGACGCGGGGCGAAAATTACGATCGGTGCAACGATACTTGAAAAAGGTGAAAAGAAAAAAAACACGACGGGGTTTATTATTTGCTTTAGCTCATCTTTCGATAAATATGCAAATTTTTAAGAACGGATTCTCTTCGTTGAATTATGTATAATATCGACGATGCACGCACGCTTCGTTAGTCCCGTAGATACCTGGTTGCCGCAGTTTCAAAGAGCATCGCTCAATTTGTCAAACATCGACATCGACATCGAAAATGTTATGGCGGTCCCATTGTTATTTGTCGCGCGATCAATGGCAGATCGCGGTTGTCCAGGACAACAAATGACAAATACTAGTTATAAATTCACTCGTCGAGGTTGGAGAGTGATGACGAGGGGGATTATGAACTCGCGGGAATAAATAATTCCGTTTTATTTATCCAACGTTTAATCATATACTCATTGAAGGGAATCGATCGCCGACGAAAACTATTGTCAATATTCGATGATGTATATACGCATCGTCCGCGGATAGTCGTTCAATTGCCCTCTCTCCCTTCCTCCTTTCCCCGTTGGATAAATTCGCAATCAAATTTTGAAATCGGCACCAAATCGAAGAGTCCATTCTAAATCCACCCCGTGATTATGACCCTGTAATTATTCGACGGGCGAACAAACGTGCGGAGAATTAAATACAAAGTGGACCAATGAGGATGGAAAATTCGATGCTTTGGCCAATACGATATATATATATATCTCAGGAATATATATATATAGCTATCTAATTAATCGACACAGTTAATTAACCACGCACTCGTCGAAAAATATCCCATCGCGCACGCGTGCGAATTTCGATCTCGACAATATCGCCAATCACATCGCGGAAAATCAATTTGACGTTTGATCGTTAACATATGGCTGGCAAATATACGCGAATAGCGCGCGCCCGCTGTTGTGCGATTGCAATTAATTGGCACCGTAAATGCATGTGCACACACGGCTCTTTCAATATATGTAATAAGTGGACCGATAATTCACGCGTGAGTTGCAATTTATCGTTGTGCGGCGGTTAATATTACAATATTTTGTCGGACTGGAATTATTTCGCGAGAAAGAAAGGGGTGATCTAAGGGAACGGAGCCTTGTCGTGTGTCACTTTGCGAAATGTGAATTTTTACGTCATTGCGCATTCGTTTCTGCTCGACAGCTGTACACGGTTTCTCTCTACAATTCCTCCATCAACTTTCTGTCAGTACTTTCTCTATTTCTCTCTCTTGCTTTTTGAGAGAAGGTATATGCGCGAAATAAATCTTGACGGGCGCAAACACCAAAGTAAAGTTGAAGCAAATGCGGGAGAGCAAAGTAAGGGAGTAACAAGAAGTGGCGAAAACTTGAGCGACTTAACACTGAAAAGCTTGCCTTCGAAAACAAATAACGAGGTATTTTATTATTTGCATCAAGCGCTCTCTTTAATTACTATGTTTTGAACGTATAATTAATGAAAAGGAACTCGGAACGAATAAACTTAAAACCTTGCATTCTTTCGCCGGAGCTTTAATTCGTTGCGCAAGAGCGTTTGTCGAGAAGAAGCATTATCATTTCGAGAAAGGACGCCATTTCAAAAATACGTCTACCTTCTCATCTTTATTGCTCCGATAACGATTAAGATGCGTGCGTCTTTATAAATCTTTAATTAAGTCGTTGCAAATTTTTGGAAATCGATTGATCAAAGTTGTGCGAAATTCCACGTTTAAAAGAGACCATCCTCCACAACGATAAAGATTAGAAGCTTGACAAAATGCATAATAGTATGTGTCAAGCTTATTATAATTTTCAGTGTACATGCGTACACCGTGTGCGGTTCTTTTCTTCCGAAATAATAATCTCTCTCGCGAGATACGTAAACGACGCTCTTGTGCAGCAAATTGTACACAGTTAACCACCGGTTCTTTTGTATCGCGTGTATATTGTTCCCGAAGGTCCCCGTGTATTGTATTGTACTTACTGGTTATCGTTGGATCAGATTGCGCCTAGAGGCAGAGAGCGAGATAGAGATAGATAGATAGATAGATAGATAGAGAGAGAGAAGTGAAAACAAAAGGGGCGAGGGCAAAGGGGTGAAGAGAAGGATGGGCAGATGGGCAAATTACTCGGTCGCCGGGATCGGATAATTAATGTCGCGCGACTCTGTCCTATACAAATATATGAACTATGCTCGCACGTTGCTTACGAGGATCTCCCCCCCGTGTATACAAACGTACAGCCAATATGTGTACATTGCATATTCGTATGCGATAATTAACAAGGCAAATCGATCGTCCTCGCTGTCGTTTTCTCACCTTGTTACGTGTCTCGCACCAGCCCGAACAATTCGCTAATAGACACGAATTTACACGCCATTTACAGGGTGTCTCTCGGGAAAGCCGTACCGAATGCCTCTTATAAATACGAGAGCGATCGCGTGGGTTAAAATTTGTGATTATTTTAATACTTTTTTTCTTTTCTTTTTTTAGATACGACAGACGTAGATCAATCGAGGCAGATAATCGCGACAAAAAGTCACTGGTTTGCTAAAATTAACATTTAAATTTACAACTCGTTTTTTCTCTCTCTCTCTCTCTTTCTCTCTTGTTCCGCTACCGATAATTATCAGTACGGAATTGGAATTTTTTTATACGTCATTTATCTAGTCTCTCACTTTCAATCAATTGACTGTCGCGGTTCCCGGAAACTTCTACCTCTGCAAGCATTAGCTTCTCCTCGCTGGATATATCCCTTATGTATAATACCTGTATAAACAGCCCATCAATCAAATGTATCAATCGATATTAACATGAGTTGGTTTCTCTAGCTAATACAGCGTGGGAGGACTTGAGATTGATTGTAACAACGATAATGCTGTATTTAAAACGAAAAACTACTAAAATTAATAAATCGCAAATCTTTCCTGGATTTGCATTCAATCTTCTAAAATCAAGCAAAAAGAAAAAAGATGATGGCGCAGGCATCAAAGCTGCTGATGAAATTATCTCGCGAGTCGGAGCAAACTCATTAAAGTTATTAAATTAACGAAACTTTCACTAGTTATCGCGGATAGTTATTATGACGATGAAAGGAAGGGAAATCGATGGGAAGGAAAGACACTCGCTCGCTCGGGAAGGGAAGTAATTCAGCGACCACTTTTTTTTTTAGCGTGAACCAAAACGTTTTCTTTCTGCAGCTTACAAAAATATCACATGGTGGCCTTAATAAAGTAACGTTATCGGTGCAACAATAATTAAAATCACGCGACACAACGATTTATCGTGTTATACATTCTCGTCGATGTATGTACGTGTGTGATGAAAGTATCAAGAATCTCCATCATCTCGATATCCATCGCGCCGATCGAAAGCTGTCACCCTCTTCTCCCCCTCTTATCGCAATCAGATATCGTCTACGATCGAATGAACGCTATAGGCATTAGAAAAATAAATTATCGCGAGTCTCCTCTATATAACGGGTGTCCTTATACGTACGTGAATGTGTGTAATAACGATCAAGCTTGCTCGCGCTAATATCTACGAGAGCGATAACTGGCGCCTCGCAATTTGCCGGCTCGCGCCAGCGTCGATAATCTCCGCTTATTGCTAGAAAATCACGATTGTACGACGCGATGCTTCGTCGCACAGTGACGGCTAACAGGTGGACGAAATAAATGCAATATCGGATGGGGATAACAACGATATCGCGCGACATTTACGATAGAAATCGAAATGTACTCTGGAAAATACTCAAGTTGTCTGGAAATCTCTGATACGTATTTTTTTTCTTTTTTCTTTTTTTTTTTATCGCAATCTCTTCTCGCATCTCGTCCGACTCGTGTTTATTGTAGCAAAAAGTATGTCAAGTTGACGGGAGCAAATAATTTTACAAAATCATCACCACTATCGAGTATTTCATGCGAAAGCAATCACACTTCGCTAACATGACCGATTATTGGATATTGCGAGATTTGATTTGGATCGAAAAATATATTGCCGAGTGAATTTGTTCATTGAAACGCGAATGCGTCGCTGAAATGGTCCACCTCCGGCAAATGCAATTCCGGCAGCGGAATAATTATTACAATGGAAGTAAAAAAGTTTCCCTTTGCAGATTTAACAAAATTATAATCGGCAAACAAAATTAAGTAAATTGAGTGATAAAACAATCCGTTTGCAATCTATCGGCGATACTCTAATAATAAAATGAGCTGTTCCAAGAGACTCTATTTCACGGTGAAATGATTCTTTTTATCAATGTATCGTATTTATTCTTGTAATCTCTGGCGAAACAAAGAGGGTCGCGATTTAATCTCTCTGTCCGCGGGAAATCCCTCTTGGAATTAATCATCACTGTACGTCGTATGTATCGTCCAGCGATTTTCTTCATCGATTTTCTCTTTCGCTTATCGGCCGCGATAAGCACATTACACATCGCTGAAGACTTAGCTACTGTTTTAGCGATGCTTTATAAATCAATAAACTACTTCGATACCGTTCAATGCTCCGTAGGGGCGTCTCTATCTTATTCGATTATCTAATGTGATCTAGTGTGATCGTTAACATTGACATTGTAAAAAAGTAGAACCGTCTGTGGATGTATGTCATCTATGGGAAGTCGTCACATGGAGCAAATGTGTTCTAAAATCACACCTTTCAAAAATATATAGCGACTACGGATTTATATTCCCGAATAATTTTTGGACCACTTTGTGCGACTGTAAGATCAACGGAGGAGATTAAAAATAAATGTAAATTCCAATTTAGATTCTCTCTCTTCCGAGTGAGTCGCGTATTCGCTCCATGCGACCGTAGATCGCTAAATGACATTTTCATTCTTCGTGCCAACTCTGTCGAATATAATAACCGGCGTGGTATATATGTCGTATCTTTAAAATATACAGGGTACCCCGAAATCACTGAATATCCTTTCAACAACAAACCTTCTCTGACCAGTTTGCAGACAATTTTTAATTAACGAGCGATTATATTTTTCAGTTAATCTCAGGTGGAGTTTACTTTGACGGAATTTTAATTTAAAAGCTATAAAGATATATAGTGGCAAAAATTGTAGAGTCGAAATAATATCTTTTCCGACATTTTCGCCCAGGAAAAATTGCCTTCAAATTGGCCAGAGAATTTATTTATTAATTAAAGGGACATCCGGTGATTTCAGGAGAGTCTGCTACATGTCTGGTACATGATTTATATAAACGCAGGCGATATGTATGAATGCTCCTCTCTCTAAAATATTGTTCACCAAGCTCGGCGAACAATCGATCGTCGTTTGTTGAAACGTAACTCGATTGCGGGTTAATTAGCGCGTTTTTATGAGCGACATTAAACGAGGGCACGTGACGATACGGGCGGATTTACGATTGAAACCGTTTCGCGCCGATAACGGACCTGTTTGTTATTAATCTCAGACACGTGGAACACAGCTGTTTCACGTTGGATCGCGATCTTAACGGTAGACTCATTCGACTCGAAAGTATCCCGTTTTCCACGGGATTTGCAATTCTCTCGTAAAACGTAAACTCGTAACCTCGGTTGTTATATCGCGCAGAAAAGTCCGCGTTATTTTCTCGACGATATACAAAGCGATCGAGAATCCGCTACTTCCGGGTCAGACATTTTTTTATGCCACTAACTTGCCTTTTACATATGTGTGTATGTGTGTGTTTTACATTATTAAATAATTAATCCTATTGACACTCTCGAAAAATATCAATCAACGCATTTGCTTCTCAAATTGTGACTTATTTTGCTTCCTCTCTCACCCTAAACTGCTTTGCGATGTGTTAAGAAAAAGACAGTAAAGTATTTCGTAACGAAATTTACGTCGCGGTCAAAATGTCTTTACAAACTATATTAATCATTTCTAATCTTTGTATTTTCATATACAACTTTAATATTTTTTTTTTTTAACTTTGAACGTCAAAATTACAAAATATTTCTTCACAAAATATTGCTTCTTCCTTCAGTTATTCTATAAATAAATTACGAATCCATCTGATGTAATAAAATTTGACGCGGCATCAAATTCATCGCGTCAAATTCAATCAAGAATCCCCGTCTCTTAAAGTTAAAACGCGATATTCTCGCTATAAATATAACGCAATAAAATAAAAAATCTTTACGTACATTCTCAATAAAAAAAGATATCTCGTAACAATTTTTTTCACCCTACAATTCTGCTCGCATCATCAATTACATCAGTTTCCTCGGAAAATGTCGCGAATTTGTGACACGTAATGCATGTTTAATACCATCGACACTACATTTGCGACGACGCTTTACACATGTTTGTTTACACGCGCAGCCTTGTACGTGAAAACGATTAAAAAACGATCTACGTTACGTTATCGCGTATTCTAGTAATACTGAAGGACGATTGAAGCGACGCTATCATAAATCTCGACTCGTTTGCGACTGGTGCACGTGCTGGCGAAACAACAACAACAACAACAACAAGGTTTCCTCTATCTACGCCTACCACTCTACTCATGTATAATAATATAATCGCGATCGCATCGATCGCGCGTTTATAAAATTCTCTGAAAGCCCGCTTTTCTCGCACAACAAGGTATTACATTTGTATGTACACGTGTGTCGCCGACGTATGTATGCGTATGTTGCGTGTATAGATAATATGTGTATCTCTTTCTCTCTTTGCCTTTCAACAACACGCGGTAAAATAGTGCGATCTCGCTAGAAAGCCAACAATCGTATGGACGGTAGCGAACGAAATCAATTGGAACAGGTTTTGCTAAAACGAAGGCTCGGTCACTTTGCCTGCGAGTGTTGGAACAGAACCGATTTTCTTCTTCCCGCAGGACGATTCCCGAGACCGGGAACGTGTCGATGTTTTGTACAATCTCGTTTCTTTTTACACGAGCTATTCGTCTTGTATATTTTCCTTCTCTCTCTCTCTCTCTCGCTTTTTCACGCCATAAGTCCTAAATATCGAAAAATATTCTCTCTACTCTGGGTCAGTTGTCTCAAAACTACCACAAGCTACGATCGCGCGGTCGATTACGTATATATGTGTATTTATATATGATTTTTTTTTCTTTTTCCTTAATCCTTGGGCTAATTATATCACGTAATTACCTCGAGCGTGGCGTACTTTTTTTCATAACCGATTAATTAATTCGGATTCGCGCATTATCTTTGCCGGAGGGATTGTTGTTGCGGCACGCAGAGATCGTTAACAAGCGCCGTTATTAGCGCGATTGAACGGCGCTGTAAAAGCGCGAGATAACCTGCCGCACTTAATTGCAAGCAATTATCGCCGTAACCGATAAAGCCCCAAAGGATTAATTCCACGTCCCGAATGCGTCAATCTTTCCAATTTATTACTTCAACTCGCAGATCGATCGTTACGCGACTGCATCAAATCGACGCTCGAGCTCCGTAATACGTCTAAATGACAGATTGTCAGCGATAGAGGTCTCATTGCTCATGATTTCTCCGATTGAGATGAATCGTTTCGAATCGCTAAAATCGACTCGTTTATTAATTATAAAACGCACCAACTTGTGCCCCAACTGTACGCGAAGAGAGAGTCCCCCTCCCGCTCCTCTCCCTCGATAAAAGCACTTGCCCTCGTCAGATATAATCAACAACTATAACAACTTTGTACACTTCAAAATTCACCAGCAATTCCCAACATTATGCGATATGCGCGTATGATGTGTCGACGTTTCTATCGCTGGCACGTCAAGTTCGAATCGTGCCAACGGGCTATCACACCTCGCCCGATCACCTACATGATCGTTTACCTCTAATAGGTTCATCCGAACGAACATTAGACATTCGAGATCGCGTCCCGAAGCGAGACATTAGCAGGCACACATCTTCGTATAAAATTTATACATCTTTGAAGCATCTCTTTCTCTTGGCTCTCTCCTTAATCGAGGGCGTCTTCGAATGCAGCCTGCACGCACCATGACTTTAATCATTTATCCCGTCGAATAAAGGGCACGTGAACAACGAGATTTTTTTCGAGAATCGGTTCGCCGATCGTCAGGTTCTTATTCCAGGTTTCTTATTCCACCAAGCTCGAGAGCGAACCGAGCTTTTCCCGATGCTACGTCATCGTCGAAGGATGCGATTCCGGTGGCACCGGCAACTGCGTCTGCCGATTCGAGAGCCGTCGAGGCCAACGTTGCGGCGAAACTGGCGGCGTCGGTCGTGGAGTATTCGGTGCGGAACCGGCGGTCAGTCGCCAATTGCTGCTGGAGAGCACGCTCGATCTGCCCACGACAGAGAGATTGGCGTTGCTGCTGCTGCAAGCGACCGCCGCCGACAGGTCCACCCTCGACACGGTCCTGTGTGCATCAATTAATCTCCTTTCAAGATCTTAATCAAGATGTAATGGCTACACCTGATTGGTCTATGTTTCTAATTTTGGCTGAATCTAAGAGCACACAATCAGATTCACGAACTTTACAACAGTTGCAAAGCAGCATTTTCTGCTCAACGGACAATGTATCTCAATTTCTACGGATATTTCGTCGGACCGAATCATCAAACTACATTTAAAGGATTTAATTTTTATTCGAATTGAAAGGATCATGCATTTTTTTGAAGGAATAAAAATATATAGTTGAAGTGAGTCGAGTAATTTTGACAAAATAATTTCAAATAATTCCATACGAAAGAGGACATTTTCTCAAAAGGTCGACTTACCTGGAAGGCGGAGCGGAACCTCCGGTGTAAGAATGCAGTCCTGCTGGACCACTTCTTGGTCTTGACGTGGACATAACACTCGTTGACCTGTGTAAAGCCGGCGAAGGCGGCGCAGATGGTAGCATTCGTGGCGTCTGCGGGGGTGTCCGGCCAGATGCGCTTCCGATGCTGCTGGTAGACGACTTTCTTCTCACAGTCCTGCAATCAGTCGTGATAATAGATAAGAAAGTCAGTTATTGGCGATACAGCAGGAGAGATAATCCTGCTTAAAATAAATTCGAAATTATAATCGTGTACATCAAGATGCGTTTGCGCGGGCGAGGAATGGATACTTTGGAATAATTTATTCCAATTATTCCGGCAAAGAACTTTTGATATGCAAATTTTATTCCGCTTTAAAAAAAGGAGCTGTTGATTAATTTATTCTTTATCGTTTATCACAATAAGAAAATTGCTAGAATATTGGAACCATTGTATCAACGGCCAATATAATCTTTTAAATTTGCTTTCACTCGTCTGGATCTTTGCCATTTCCTTTCTTCAGTTGACCTTACTTTTTGTGTGTCCGATATAACTCTTTGGAAAGTACTTTTATACCAATACAATTGAATGTCAATTCAGTCAGCTTGTCTTTTATAGCCAAAGATTTGTAATTACCTTTTAGTAGGTTGACGACAAAGGCCAGTCGGACAAGTGCGTCCCATGGCGCATTTGCCTTCGCACACCTCTTTCGCTAGGGCCAGTGTTTCGTAATTTCTCAAGGTGGACCTGCAAGCCTCGGCGTCCGATTCGGCGAGAGCAAGACTGGGAAATCGCTCCTTTAATCTGCGACGCTCCTGCATTAAAATTATGACATTAAATAATAATAATAATTTTGTAATTTTTTTTTGATAATTTGAAATATTATGTCAGCTATAATAACTTTTCTAAAAATATACGATTTTTAAAAGAGAGAAAGAAAAGTATACGATTTTATAAATATACGATTTTAAAAAGGGAGAAAGAAAAGTAAAGTGACAAAAGCTTGGCACTACTAAAAGGAACAGAGAAAAAGCAAAGAAAGAAAAGTTACAAAGCAAAGTAATTATATTGGTATCGCTTACGTCTTGTAAGCGACTGGATTCAAAGTCCTTGAGCTGCTGTTGAAAACCGACATTCGGATTCGCGATGGAACGACCAACCCTGACGACTTTGAGCGCTTCTTTCCAGGACAAATTAGTGGTGCTCATGATGTAGGCCACTGCTACTGTTACGCTCCTCGACATTCCTGCCAGACTGAAAAGAAATTATTTTTATTCACAAAAATTTATATTTATTTCTATGAATCGCAAATTTCATGCAATTTTGTCGACATTCAATGTTAAGGTAATTTTGTCGACTAACATGTTTTCTTCATCCCAGTTTCCTTGTCCAATTTATAAATGATTTTTTTAAAAAGAAAATTTGAAATATCATACACTTTTCATATATTTAAAAAGCATTTAAAAAATGTTTGAAAGAAATTGTATATCTTTGTAATCAAGTTTTATATTCAAAAGATCTTTTCTACCAATTTTATTAAATAAATAATACTTTTATCATATGTCATCTCTTTCTTCCTTCCCTTTCTTCTCTTTCATCCGTTTCTCTCATTGTCAGTTTAATTTCTCATACTTATTTCTTTCATAAATTTATATTATTTATTTATAATTTATTTAATTTTATTAATAGTTAAATTTTAGTTTAAATTTTACTAATTATTTTCATTTTATTTGTCTACAGTAATTTATAAATGCTTTTCGACATTTTCATTAAAGAAGAATAAATTTCAAATCGAAAAATCTAAAGTAAAAAAAGCATCTGATGAAATTATATTACAAATATATAACAACAAATTACAAATGTATATCTACCAATGGATTAAAACATTTCCTCCGCGAAGACGAGCGGCATGAATGAAGTCGTTACACAAAGAGAAATATTGCGATAAATTCTGATCAGGACTGTCGGCGGCCAAGATGCACAGGTAATGCTTATCCTGAAATGCAATCGAGATTTAATCCAAATATTATAGCCATAACTTTGCCGTAGAGGTTTTATTTCGAACCAAGTATATCTGCCTAATGACAAATCGACCTATTTCGAATCGATAAATTTCATTTATATTTTCTTATTGTTAAGCTGATCTTATTATCGATACAATTCAAATTTTCTTCGCGCTATTCACATGTTGACTTTTATTGCAAATCAAATATCAAGTGATGATTGCTATAATGACGAAGGAAATGCACTGGTATTATAAAACTGTTGATAATTTTGATGTGCAAGAAAAACGAATAGCGTTAGACAAGTTAGATACTATTTCGATTCTGACAGTGTCATATTTTATCAAAATTTTATAGCAAAATTTCATAGGTGCTTGGAAAAAGATATATCGATCGTAATTTAAACGTTACATTAAAAAAGATGACGAGACGAGTAGAGAGGAAGTAAAAAAGTTGGGAGAGGCATTTATAAATATAAATTTATTCATATAAAAAGAAATTGATTAAATTGGAAATTTTATTGAATTTTAAATTGCGAATAAAAATATTAAAAGTAAAAGAGGAAGAAAAATGTTAGCGAAAATAAATGAAAAATAAAAGAAGGAAAAATTGGGAAACAGAGAGAGATGAATAGAGACTTTAAAATGAATAGAGATTTTTAAATATAATAAAATAAATAAATTAAATATAATAAATACAACAAATAGAAGACAGATCGCGATTATATATTTTTTGAGAAAATTAAAAGCGAGGCCTAATCGAAGCTGTCATAAGCATGTTTTCTCCCACCATGCAATACAAGTTTTCTCTTTAAGGATGTTTTATATGTACAATCCCAGCAAAAAGTAGCGGAAAATCAATATCGACGAATATATCTATTTTTGGTGTATTTTGAGTATGAGAAATTGCGTGGAAATTTATTTTTTAATTTATTGCGTTTCTAATAAAATATTCCGAATTTTGTTAATCGAAATGATTAACTTTTGGCAGAGAATTTCGCCTTGTGACAGATACATGGCTAATTTCATTGAATTATATTTAATACCCTTTTAATCAGTTAATACTTGTATAATATTATTTGACCAAATATTTCCTCTGTATCTAAACTACACTTTTGCAAATTTTAAACAAATTCTGAATATTATTTCCATGTATTTTTGTCATTTGAATCGACGTGTTTATACGTTTCCCATAAGAATACATGTTAATTCGGTGCAAATTAAAATCCTTATAACTTGTTAACGCTTTAGTGAATCGATTTAAAAATTGTACTGAAGATTCTAAACATATGAAGGACATTCTGTACAATTTTCATTAAATTCTCAATATTTTGAAAATAGGTACAAACATCCTTAATTACAAGCCAAATCTTTTATGTGATAGGTTTCTAATTGGAATCCCTTTATTGATCGTTACTTGAAAATTTCGTTCAAAGATGCTTTAACTTATCTCTCGCGTTATCTTTTCCCTACTTACAGAATGCAAACGACGGGCCGTGTCGTGAATGGCCAGAATATGCGTGATCTCGAAACGTTCCAATTGATCGGCATCCTTGCTGTCCTGATAATTGCCTACGTAAAGTCCAGAAAGTACCTGCCGACATAATAAAGGATAATTCAAAGTATAGTATAAAGACGAGACATTTCGTAGAGCGTACTTTAATTTACGATAGAATACATAATCAAGATGTGATATAAAAATATCGCGCTTCTGTCAAACCTCGGATTTTGAAAATACAAAGCGAGAGACGTCGCGGTAGCCTCTTTGTCCCTCTCGCCGCGGTTCTCATTTAAAATACCGCGTTACTTTCGGCGTCTATTTGGCGAAGGATTACTTACGATTAGACGATGAAGAAATCCAGGTCAGCTGGTGGGAGAAGCGCAAACCCACGGAATGAATCCGCGATGTGCCGCGCGCGCGCGACTGGCGTCGCAATCTTAGATTAACTTACCATTTGACAAATATTGAACCTTGATGAAAGAGAGCGTTTAAGCGAGACGCAAGAGGGGAAGAGAGGAGGACCGCATACATTAATTTAAATGGCGTTTTTCACCCGACCATTCTTTCAGCCAATATTGATTCAGTCTTTAATGAAGGCTCGAAAAAACGCCGAGGGAACTTTTTTTTCTTCCTCTCGCGCGTTAAATTAAAAATATACATCAACGATCGAGATGACGAGGATAAATTGAGACGTATGGCGAAAAATGATCCCGGGGCGATCTCTTTAATAGCTCGCGCGTGCATGACGTTTATTTTAATTATCGTAATCTCGAAAATATACACTCTCCGGTCGTTAGTCTTAGTTCTCGCGATTTAATTTCATTCGAACCATTCTTATCGCGATTACCCTCGTCGAGTTTGCTCCCCCTTCTGCGCGGCCCTCGTCCACGTCGATTTTAGATGAGAAGAAACGAGGAGAGCCAGCTCGGGGCTCGACGAGACCGCGTCAAGCGGTTGCCGTCTCGTGATCGATCGATCACGAAGGAAGAAAAAAAGGGAGGCGATATACCGTTCTCGGAGGGCAAAACGAGCGACAGTAAACACACAACTCTCTATCACGTCGTCGACGACGAATATGCGATTTCGATCGCTCGTGATCTCCTGGTGTGTTTGCGCGATTTACTATAGCGTGCAAACGTCAACCGCCGCGTCGGGGCATCGATCGCTGGACGAGACATCGCGTAGATCCTCTCGTCATCCGCTCAGCGATGTGGAGATCCCTCCCGATGTCCTCCTCGAGCGTCGAAGATCTTTGAGAGGTATCTCGGAATCGTCGGTTGCATCCCTTCCGACATCGGGGACGGATGATCGCGAGAATATTGTCGATCGTTTCGTTTTAAAGCGTCATTCCCCGCGTCGTAAACGAAGAAAGAAATGCAGTCGTCGAAAGCAGGACGATCGGAGAAAGATGAGAGCGGAGAAAGTGAAGTTCGCGGACGAGATCGAAGAATCCAAGAGTTCGATGAAGTCGTCTAGTATTGTGAAAAGCTCGTCCACTTTTGACGCCACCAAGAATGCTCCCACGAGTACTCTGAGTCCTACGCTGGAATTAACGACGGAATCTTCAACGATACACTTCGCGGATACAATCACCGACGTCGTTTCGTCGACGAGGGTCGCCGCGACAGTTGTACAAAACGATACGACTCGCAGAAGAAATTCCCAGCGAAATCCCTTTCACAAGAAATGTGGGAGAGCTAAATGTGCGGGAAACTGTAAAGAAGAAGAAACGAGGATTATCGATGTACTCGAAGATGAATTTTTCCCACCTAATGTTGGGAAATCGAGTACATCGCAAACATCGTCGAGTTCATCGTGCACTTCTAGCTCATCACATCGACTGCGAGATAGATCGCGACAAGATAATCACGAATATGATGTATAATGTTGTTTTGATGTACAACGGTATACATCGCACAAGAAACTTTGTGGAGAAATATATTACGTAAAATTTTGAGACGATTATTGATTGTAAACATTACGTTTCGTCTTCACTTCGAAAAAGCTGAATATATTAAATTTGTGTGTATTAAATTATCAATAAAATTTTAATTTCTCATGATTATATAAAAGTTTACATCTATATGTGATACTTTTTTTTAAATAATTAACAGAAAGAATAATTGCAGAAGCTTTCTTAATTTTTCCTACAGAAAATTTGCATATAAAAATAGAAGAGAAAGAGAGATAGAATTAATGAAATCAATGACGTTGCTTGAGAAAAAATATGCTGATGAGAATACGTGAACGAATCTGATTAATCATTTGATGATTTGCGAAAAGTATATCGTAGGTGAAGATTTTCATCGCGATTTCAGTTTCATCTCTTCTGTTCCGTTTTTCAGCTTCCGTCTTACGAGTGCGCGTTGCTGCTACATAAAATTTTATTTTTATCAAGCGTATTATCGGTTGTAAGCGCGAGGTTACGACCGTCAGGTAGTCGTTATATTGAAATACATTTAAACAAGTTATCGGGTGGTAAAGGCACCAAGTCAGAATAAAACGTATTGTGCGCTATAAAGACCTTTTTATACGTTTGCAGTGAAAAAGAAGATATTTTTATCGAAGATTCCCTGTCGTTATCGAATTATACTTAAAACTCGGAACAATAAAAATAAAATGTACATGGCTGTAATTAATTTTTTATAAGATAAATTGATTAAAAAAAATAATTTAGGCAAAATTATTTTCACTATTTTATATTAAAAAAATCTTTTAATTAAACATTCATTAAATCAACATTCATTTGAATTCTTTGATTTCTCGGTTGTTCCAGACAAATTATTAAATTTGTTAAGACAAGACTTTTTCATTTAAATAACTTAAATTGATATTTCTGTCGAGTCTTTTGTAATAAAAAAATGCTAGCAAGAGATGATAGGAATAAATAATGATGAAAGCTCGAATATTCAATCAATATAAAAGGACATGCTATATATGTGTTTTTTATATGCAATAGGATATCGATTATAATTATCCGCAATATTTTTAAGGCGACAAATTAAAAAAAGTTATAGACAAAAGTTTTTTCATAGATAATTCAAAATCATTTTATTTAAATAATATTGATATCCTCTGCAATATTATATGAAAAAATTATATGACTCTATTTAAAGAAACTCAGGATAATCTTAAATGTTTTACATACAGAAAAATTAATTTTAACTTTTTTAAAATAGCTTGCATAAAACAGATAGATTCTTATTCTTTTTCTCTCAGATACTCTATCTCGTGTGCTCCTAAAATCTTGCAGATTACTACAATGTAAAACTTCCATAATCTTATCAAATCAATTATACAAAGTTGTTAAATGCAAATTAATTATTAAACGCGTTTCATTTTAAATCTGTTATTGTATTTACTAAAAGGGGGCTCGAAAACGATATAAAGCGCGATCAAAACGTTTGGTATTTAATTTACGTTTGTTCACTGTACCTTTGAGTAATTTATTCGGCGCGCCGTTATTAGTCTCTCATTATAGTCCCTATATAAAGAGCTACAAATTGAAAATTTATACAAAGGATGTCCCGCGTTTGTCGCGTATTATTTTTTTAATAACTTATAGCTTGTCACTTCTCGAGTTACGTACGATTGATAAATATAATTATTTGATAAATATTTTGAAAAGCCAATAATGCGCGTAGATGACAAAATTACATTTTAGTCAATTTTAGCAGTTTATTTCGATTAGGTTTTTAAATTAAAATTAGATATACGTATATGTGGGATGCTGAAAATTGAGCAGAGTTGTGGTTAATAATTACTTTTCTAAATTTTTTCAGTAAGGAAAATTTTATTTTTAATTAGTTAAAAAATCTGTTGTTGAGAATTAATACGCGAAAAAACGGGACGTTCTAGTGCAATTTTATAATCATATACAGGGTGTTTCTTAATAAGTGCGAAAAATTTTAGGAGATGATTCTTTGTCGAAAATTAAGGGGATTTTTCATATAAACGTATACTCCTACATCTCTTCCTGTGAAGTTACACTCCTCCAAAAATAAGAGTAAAAATTAGGTTCTTATTTTTTTCTCAAATTTGGAACAAGTTAAAGAAATGAAATTAGGTGGATATTTTCTACTAGTAAAAAAGTTATTTGTTAATATTTTTTTGAGCTTACAAAATATTATTATAAGGAAATGAAACTAGCAACCCCTATTCAATTTTTTATTAGAACTTTTTTAATTATATCTCTTTGTTTATATAAAAAACCCCTCTTAATTTTTGACAAAGAATCATCTCCTAAAATTTTTCGCACTTATTGAGAAATACCTTGTATATATTTCCCCAAATATATATATTCCTGTCGACACGTAAGAAATATATCTGTTCCTTTTCTTAGCTAAACGACTAAAATATCGATCGGAAAGTAAAAATTTGTCCAATCAGAGCAATTTCTCACCTTGTTCATACCATTCCCCATGATGTCGGTGCGATGAGGAGCGCGTGCTTGATGCTGCTGGTTTAAAAGCGCGAGTCGCGTACGAGCCTTTGTTCGTTCGCCATCATCTTCAGTCTCTTGAGCTTATTTCTCGACGATCCGATTCGATCCTCGTCGGTTAGGTAACAGTATTGTTCGTCAAGCATCATCATCAAAGTATAGAAGCGAGACTCCATCAAGCCGCCGCGTATTTGATCTTATCATCGATGATGCTCAACGTGAGCCACGTGGCTCTCGATCTTCTCTTCTACCTATCTTGCTCTCTTTCTGTCTCTCTCTTCTCTCATTTGTTATCTCGATAATTTATTACTGTAGAGGATAAATGATATAATTAGCGATCGCGATAACAAGCAGTGAGAATGTGAAATTATTTCGTACTTTTGTTGCGCTCTTGCAATCGCGCCTTTTTCGAGGACGACAACCGATGTGTCCTCGATTTGCGAGGGCACATTTATATTCACGAATATTTTTCCGCGGATATCTTTTTACCGAACTCTCGTGTAGCCGCCCCAGGAGAGATTCCATTTATACGTGGATTTCTACGGTCTCTCTCGGGCGGACGCAAGAAAATAGACGACATTTTAATACGTCGCGAAAGACAGAACCATCTTTGGGAGGCCACCCGCAATCGCGACTCGCGTTGGTTCTGTAAAAGAAGGAAAATTCTCAGTTATAGAAAGATGAGATTCCATGTAAATAGAAGGAATAGGAAGAATTTGTCTTGGATATCGATTAGCGATACGCGGCACAATTGCATCGCTCGAAAGAGGAAACGCGCGCTTGTTCTTTCGAGAAAGTGGGACAAGTTATTGATAAATTGTCGTCATCCTAGGTACATGTGTTGCATGTATGATCTTGGGAGCTGCCTTAAAAATCGGTAGTCAAACCAATTCGAGTATTTCGAGAATGACACTCTTCGTTACAATTGAGGCAATTGCATCATCGAGAAATAGATACGGTCGATCGTCGCGGGAAAAGTGCATTACGAGTGGCAATAAATTCCAACAAGGGGAAAATAAAACTGACGTAATTTCAGAAAACGAATGCACGGTCTCTGAGTTTAAACAACGTGCGGCTTATCGATTATTTTAAAATCAATAAGATAAATTATAAGGACTCCGTTACCTTGCAGTATGTTAACCTACTTTATTAGCAGGTTACAGTTGACTGCATTAATCATGTCAAACAAAAATTTAAATTCAAATTGTGTGATATTTAGAAATTACCTGTTTGCGTTATTTAATTGCATGATTCTATTGTTTTACAGTCGCGAAAAACAAAAAGAATCGGTGAATCGCGTGTCTTAAAATATCTAGCGAGTGCAGAGACACTAATATTAAATTTTATCCCTGATTGTATATCTACCACTCTCTTGTAATTACTTATATAAAGCTCATGCAAATCATTTAGATTAAATAATAAAAAATGTATGTTTTTTTCGATAAATAAATATATAAATATAAAATATTATATTTTTTTTTAATTATAAACTTTTCAGACATATATATATTCATTTTTTTAAATGGATACATCAAAGCATTAATTATAAGCAACATACATTAAGAAATTATTCAAAAATGTTACTATAAATAAGAAAAGAATGATTTAAAATTAGTCAAAAAATTTTTGTAGTTAAAAGGAAGCACAATTGATTTAAAGCACCTCATGGAGCGTAAAATCAATTCTGCGACAAAATTTCGTGACTATGTGTAAGCTATGGACGTTGTCAAGGACACGAATCGCTATTGCCAGCCAGAAAAATAGTGCTTCCACATTTCGAAGCGGCTCATAGAAATAGATATGTTTTTATTGCGGACTCGCAAATATGGCAGCGCAAGACTGTACGCGTCTATGTAAATTTTAGCCCCCGATATATTGGCACGATATCAACCCAACGTATTTTGTTCTCTCTGGCAGCAAAACATGATTGCGATGCAACTTGAAAGCTTGCGTTCCGATTTTATCCGACGAACGAAAAATACCTCCTATTATTTCTATCACGAGAAACCAAATCTGAGTGACATAATTGATGCTAATTTACTGCTCATTTATAATTCCAATCCCGAATTTATTTTTTCTGTCAATTAGCAGAAAATTTATATTTAAAAATGGAAGGGATTTATCTTACTATCAGGCTAGCATCTCCACAGTGGATCGATAAATAAAAAAGAAATTTAATAGAATTAATTGCTAATTAACTGCTCTCAAATATGCGAATTGAAAATAGATTCTAAAAATTCTATAAAGATTCTAAAATTTTTATAAGTAATGTTTGTTAATATACTATAAATAGTAAATTATAGTAAAATGATCCAATAAAACTTAATAATACTTGACATTAAAATATTTCTCGAATTAATTGTTATCCTATAATTTTGAATTTGTTACCTGTAAAAAATAAGTCTGATTATTTTTTAAAAAATCTTAACGTAGTAATTATAATAATTAACTATCACGCCGTGTTCGATCTTCATTTTGTGCGACATGTTGCTACTGTTTATACGCGATCGTCTTGTTGTCATTTGCACGGGAAGGTGCGGAAACGATGCAAGGCGTTCGAAGCGTCATTCTATTATCTTTTGAAATGTGACCATTATCTACGATTACTACAATTAACGATAATTAACCTACGTAACTAATGCATTTTCACGAATATTGCGATTCTCAATTAGCCATTAATTTAAATGGTATTACATAGTACAACCATTGTTCAAACTCTATTCTATAACTTATTCGATTAAAATCAATCTTTAGAAATTGTAAAGCAATATATTCTTGAATATTGCATTTTGCAGATATCTATTAATTTTCACTTGTATACCCACTCATTTGTTTTATAATAAGAATGGCAAAATTGTCGATAATAAAATGTACTATTAATATATTAAAAAATAGTAAACCTATAAATATAAATTTAAAAAAGTATTTAAAATTATTTTTACAAAATGATTATTTAAAATATGATTAAAAAAAAATAAAATGTTCTCATACGATCAACCTGTGAATATACTTATACATGTTTTTTTCGCTAAGAATGTCTTTCGTTTTCCAATATTTGTGGAAGATTAATAAAAAAATAATTAAGAATTAAGTTTAAATAAATTTTCAGTATTTCCTTCTCACATCGTTATGATTATAATCGATAATCGCTGATAAAGATAATCGCAATTCATTTTTGTTCTTAATAAAATAATATTTTATAAAATATCAATATATTTAATAAATCGAGACCTTCGATAAATACTAGAATAACTGATTAAAATATTTTGACGTTTATATTACGTACGGTACATATATCGCATTATTTTTAAGTAACGCCATTGAAATATATCCGTATATTACCAATTATTATATTATCGAATATCCGATGAATATTTTTAAATCTTTATCAGATATTCAATATCGCTAAGCTTTCCGAATATTTATTAGTATTATTGCTATTTGCCATTATTGTAAAATCTATCAATTTGCTATTGAGATTAAATGCAATTGCATAAAACCAATGCGTCTGACGAGTATTGGCCTACTCTTAAAATAAAACGATGATATATTCGAATAAATTCAACGAAAACCAATCATATCCAACGACCTGAAAACTGTCACGCGTGAAACAGTTTGTACAGTAATTTTTTTTCTCATGCACATCCAATCAATTTGCGTAAAATTAATTCATTAAAATTGAATACACACTGCGAGGACGCATTCGTAAAATCCCTTCATCTGTTATCCGTCCAAAGATCGATTACGGATCTCCGATTATTCATCGATTCTCATAAAATAGATACGTATCGGGATCCGACTCGTAATCAAGCTAAAAGCGCGATGTGTATTATAAATTATGCAATAATCCACACGTCTGACGGATATATCTCTCGATACAAAGAGACGAGATAAATTAAAGAGGAATGAAAATAGAGCACTTATTTACGTTGGAAATTAAAATAGCATTATAAGGATTAATTAATGAACGTGAAATTCATCACTCGCCTCGCAAAAGCAATATCCGAATTACACATACGAGAAATCTACAAAGCGATATTTCGATAGAAAAATAAAAAAAAAATCCAAGAGCCTTCGAGACGCACCTGCAAAATCCACACTCCACATGATATCGCGACGAGGACACGGTTGGAAGGTATACCTATATCCTGCCCTAGGAGGATATACCTCTCCCTTATCGCGAATTAGCTCGTCGCACTCGCGGGATGCTGCTCGTCTCTCCGAGGGGAGACTAGCGAAGCTAGAAGAGAAGGGGCTCGTTCGCGCACTCTGTTCAATCGCTGCCGCGAGAAGGAATTCCCGAGGTGGCCGACGAATCGTGCCTTTCTAATCCCATCGCCGGGTTGCACTTTTCAGCCCCGTCTGTCACACACAGACGTTGCAGCAGATTACACTGCGATTCGTGTGCATTCTTCTCTCTCTCCTTCTTTTTCTCTCTCTCTCCTTTCCTCGACGACTCGACGGAAGGGCGCGTCGTACGAGAACTACCCTGCTCACGGTGAGCAAGGAACAGGGGTGAGAGAAACAAGCAGCAACGAGAGCGAGGGAGACGACGTAGACAGGGTGAGGTGGGGGTAACTAAACCGCAACGATGGCGAGGAGGAAGAGGGAGAGGTACAAACGGCTAGGGGTAACGTGCAGGATAGTGGGGTAGATCCTATCGTCACGCGACTCGAGGCCCTGCCTACGAATCCTCGAACGCACGTTTCATCAGTTTTGTTCCGCGCGTCAGGATCTCGCATCCGTTCCGGATCATCCCGGATCATCGCCCCGACGACGGCGAGAGAAGAAAGGGAAACGACGATGATTCATCGATGATAACCCACCCTCCGGGAAGCCCGACACTCGGAAAACGCGAGCCCTCGACTCGATGCACTGCGATCGATCGCCGCGATGGTCGATGTCCGATTCAGGATCACCCGGATGTATCCTAGTAGCTACGTGGATGCTGCTGTAACGCAGTAGGTCCTCTTTCGGGGAAGCTTAATCTCGCTTGTTGCACCTTTGAATGTCTCTATGATATGAGATTTGGATATCGATGATCGCTCGGCCGCCGCGTGAAAATATCATGTCTCTCTCTTTTTAAAAGCCGAACGTGCACGGACACTCCTTCTCACTACGTCCGCGGGAATCTGTGGCCCGTTCAAATTCATTGCCATGAGGAGGGCGAGGATGGCGATGGAAATCTCGTAATAGATTTGCCGCGACGGGAGGATGGGGGTGGGAGGGGATGAAACGCGGAGGGGATCAACAGGGGTGACTGAAGGCCGTTCAGATCCTGGCTCGAATAATCCTGTCTTTTTTTCCAATTTTTTTGCAACTTTAAATTCTAATTTTTTCGCGGTAAAATTCACTAAATATCCTCGCCCACGGTTCTACCTTCGATGAAAGAACGATGACTCCTCTCGACCACCCTTCGACGGAAAATCTTTCATCGCGCGGATATTAGCGGAAAGGGTGAGGGGGTCATCCGTCCCTGAAACTAAGGCGTTGTGTACGTCGGCGTTGGCGAGTTCGCGCAGAAGCCGCTCGATAAAGACCTTACCCCTCGTCACCCCTCGACCCTGCCCTACAAATGGCAAATCTGGTGTAGTAGGACTCGCACACACGGCTACTGGGCTACGCTTGCGTCGTAACCGATTGCTAATACGTGTGCGCGTGTATGTGTATGTACAACATGATCTTGAATGGGCTCGTACCCCGCTGAAACATCTTGCCAAGAAGCGCGCCTCTTCCTTTATAGCGCGCTGAACAGATGTATTGCGTATGCATGGCAGAAGATTCAAAGAAAAGTAAAGTATTTTTTTCTTTTATGAGAAACTATGCCCCCGTACACACTTCATACAGGAAATTATAATCGCTCGTATGCTCGTGGATCGATCGCGATTACTCGTGCAACGCAAATTCACTCCCGCGATACTCTGATTCAATCATTCGCGGAAATAAATGGAGAGACCAGTCACATGCAAACGTTTAATAAATTATTCAACGATCACACGTAATAAAAATTCCTTCATGTTGACGATTCAGAGATCGTACATCTGTTAGACACATCCTCATATAGTTCGATGCTGTGATATATGTGTATGGAATTTTAAATAAATAATAATAACGAATGTTTGAATAACATTGAAAAATAAAATTGCAAACATTCTATTTTTAGAAGAAATAATTATTGTTCATAAAGATCGTAACAAATTGACGATTTATTATTTTGATTTCTGTCTCACACACATAATTCGATTCTTAATTAAATTATATACATTACGTGAAATACGCACTTCGAAATCCATCGTTGCGATGTAATTACGTATATTATTTAACAAATGTAAAATTATTTAACAAATATAAATATTAATTAATTATATTAATTATATTATTAATTAACTATATTAATCAACTTATTTTCTGATTCTTGTCGCGATCGCGTTTAGAAAAAGCATTTGATGGAGAGCGTCTCATACTACTACTCTTTTCTATTCGATTGTCGTTGCATAAATGATAATAGAGCTGAGACATACGTAATAATAAAGCGCTATACATTGCCAAGGCCAAACATCTTGTTATTATTATTTTGTTGCTTAAATATTTAACGGAAAATAACATATACGCGAAATAATAAATTATACAAGCGTTTAAAGTAAATATTTAAATATTTTAAAGTATATTATTACTTGTAATCTTTTTTAATTATTTATAAACAATTGATGTATTACGAAGCTTATTATCATGTGATAATAATTATTATTTAATTTTAATTATTAGTTAATTAATTATTAGTTAATTAATTATGTAATTCCATGAATTCGATTATCATTTCATTGCGTATTTTCAATCTAAATTACATTTGGATGGTCTAAAATCAAATGATAAAAGAACAAACATCTATTTTGAAAGTAATGTATAAATAATAAATAATTTATAAATTACTTACCGCAAATCTCTCTCTCGTTGATTTTCGTCGTCCTCTTTTTCCTTTCTTGTTCATCCGTGATTGTTTCCTTGTGGCACTCACACTTACTCACGAAACACGATTAATTACGATTAGTCGGAACGATGGCGAGACACATTTTGCACAGTATTTCCGATCACGAAACAGTTAAACGAGATATGCACTTTATTATATTGTAAGAGAGAATAAGTATAAGTGACATGAATCATAAGATCGAAAGATTAAAGTTATTATAAAATAATTGTTCAATTAATAATTAATTTATTCGTATTTTAAGAAAATTTAAAGTATATACAAAATATATACATTTGATTCTTTAAATATTGTTAAAGAAATAATTATTATTCGAAAGAATAATCAAAGGTAATGAAACGATAACGAATGAATCGTGATTCGATAAAAACTTATCGTCGCGATACAGTTTCATCAGTTGCTTATCAAAAATTTAATAATCATTAATTGTAGCCGTAACGAATTAAGTTCTGATATTAGTCGCGGTCACGTTTAGAAAAAGAATTCGACGGTATAAGAAGTGTTTCGCATCGGTGCTTTACTATTAGAACGTCGCCATGCTAATGATAACAAAGCCATGACACATTAGCGCGTTTATACCGGCAAGGTTAAATACCATCGCCCAATACCATATTATTGATAATTCCTTGTTGAAGTATTTTACGCGCTATAAAATATAAAACATAAATATATACGAGGTATATATATTAATTATAAAAGTATAAGTGTTAAATTATAGATTAATTATTCATTAAATGATACATGTATCGCGAGACCTTTCATTTAATTACTCGATCCCGTTAATTACTCGATTCGATTGTTTTACCGCGTATTCCCAAATCGAATTATATTTACATCGTCGAAAAATCAAACAATAAAGCGAAATCGAATGAAATTTGATATTAACAAGTATTATTAAAGAAATAATTATTATTCATAAAGATCACAAATAAAACGGTAATTTATAATATGAATTTCTGTCACACATACTTTGATTCTTATTTGTGATTAAATTACGCGACATGTACGCACTTTGTAAATTATCGTCGCGAAATATGTGGCTACGTGTTATTTATAAGAGAATTATTTATTAATCATATTCTCATAACAAATAATTTTCCGATATTGGTCGTGATCGCGAAAAAAGGAATTTGACGGAGCGTCTTGTACCGCTACTTTTCTGCTCGAGTGTTGACACGCGAATGATTACAGAGCCGACGAATGTAAATATTAGGGCGTTGTACGTATATCGCAAAGATCGAACACCATGTTATTATGATTATATTGCCCAAATATTTTACATACAATAACATATATATCATGATATGTCAGTAATCAAAATATTTCATAAATATTTTAACCATAATGTTAAATTATTATATATATATATATATATATATATATATATATATTTATTTATTTACAAAAAGATATTAAAATTATTATAGACATCCTGTTGTTGCGTAAAACATGCTTTCTTAAATTAAATCAGTAAAAATATCACTGATTAAACCAGTGATACAAGATTTTATTTTAGATAGATCCGTTGATTTCATTTAAGATTTCATTTATTTTATCTCAAATGTTATACCATTATCTGCAGATATAAATATGAATGTTTTTAAAATCTATAACAATATTATTTTCTAAAAGAATAATTTAAATATACTTTAAATGAATAAAAATCATGAATGAATTAATATTGACATACACTAATTGCAACATCATTTTATAACGGAGAATTAAAAGAATATAAACAATTTGCAAACATTTACTTCTTATGCAAATGAATTGCTTTAATTGCAATATATCAAGTGACTCAATAAATTGACTTTTAAGAAAACACTCGAAACTATACCGATGCGATGTTATAATCGTGTGAGTAGATAAAATAAATTTGTGTGAGTAACTAAATTGAGACGTAAATTACTTGTGCGCGATAAGAAACATTTTCATTTCACATTTCTGGTATAATACGCGACATTTAAACGGCTGAAAGATGTGAAAAAAATAGCGGTATTCTTTTTTATTTTAGTTTTTTTATCTAAATGTCGAATTCAAGACGAGAGCTGTGTTCGGTCGAGCGTGTCTTTTTAGGAATTACAAGTAAAATAACGCGAGAAGGATGCAATAAGGATGCGAGAAGAAAGTCTAGAACGCTAATAAAACGCGGGACATTTCGCAAGTCGACGAGATCCGAGTTCCCTATTGGATTGAGAATCGAGGAGAATATGATTATTGGCTCGCTTATCGATCGCGAGTCCACGTGGAGTGAGATTTAACTCAGAAATCCGCGCGGATTACTTGGGACGGAAAATTTGGGGTGTCACACCAAGATAAGACACGATGAATTCGATCGATTTTTATGCAAATAAAAGAATTATTGATCATCAATCTATGTTTCCGCGCAAATTAATTACTACACGTTAATAAATGTACACATTTGTATATATTTGAGATAAAACCGATTTGCTTTATTTATCGCGCTCAATATATTTTAATATATGTAACTCATCGTCTTTAAAAAATGTTATCTCATATGTGATATTATGATTTCTATAAGTGTATTTTTTCTTCCTTTTTTTGCTTTTATTTATGCACTCATTTTTCGCTTTTTAAACTACTGATATTTATGTGTAATTTATATATCTGAAACATATCTCGTCGATAATTAAATAAATGGATAAAGTCATGAAAAATGACATGTATAAAATATTGCCCAATAAAATTCCATGTTAGCAGAAAAGTCAATAATATAAATTCGCTGGGAATGATATAATCTACTATGTGATAGAGATATTAAAGTCTCGAATGGAGAAGCAAAAGAAACATTTTACAAATACATGGTATTAATTTACTTTTCATGTGTGACTTTAATAAAACGTCAAATTTTCGATAAAATAGCATCGCGAGTGAAATGACAGCTTTTAAAATATAATTTTGAACGAGAAATTTGCTATATCATTCGGATAATTATTTCGATAAACCCTGTGAGCAAATTAATGTCAGAGAAGATCGATTCATCCAACGCCTATTATATTCATTATCAAACGCCGCACAGTCATTCGCGTGGTATATTTACATCCGGGAGCATAAATACATCCGTCTTCGTTACGCGTTACACCAACGCTGTTGGAGGCTGTTATCATGAGGTAACAATGACGTATAATTCTCACGTTGCGCTAATTTTGCCTCATTAATGCGTCAATGTGAAGCGTTATCCACTTGATGGCTGAATGAGGGAGGATAGCATCCTATTAGTATATTTTAAGTGGCACTAGAAGAAACATATACCATCTCATCATTGTCATATCTCTCATCCGACGCTGCTACAGAAACAGGAGATCCACTCTGCCGTGCCATCAAACGCAATTCGAGAGACGCGGATTTTCGGAGATCCATTCTACTATACAATCCACACAATATTAACTTGCTCAATTTACTTTGATGGGAAAACGAAATATTCGATTGATCAAGAAATATTCTTTTATTCTTTATTTTATCTAAAATTGTATATCCTATATTCTAATATAATTTAAAATAATTCACAAACGTACAGATACACATATATTTTATATTTATATCTTTATAGCACGATAATTAAAAAGAATTAATAAATTAAAAAATTAAAAAATTAAAAAATTAAATAAAAATTATATAATTTCATATAAAAAAGAGCAATATAATTTTTAAATAAATATAATTTTTATAAAATGCATTTGTATTCATTTGAACAAACTTATTAAGTAAATTACTTATTTATTAACTCCTTTCTACATATTTGTATCTTATATTTAAAAATACTAAAATAAAATGATCGAAAAATATATGTAAAATATTTTATCCTAAAGGAAATAATTTAAAACCAGAAGGAAAATATAGAGAATATTTCTTCCTTATTTGAACAAATGGAATATTTCTGTCTTCCTATCACGTATAAATTTTACATCCGACGTCCATTACGCTATTCAATCTAATAATATAGTATCAGACATGTATAAGTATGTATGTGTGTATATATTGTACGTCATTCATTACTTGGGCAATTATATCGATTACATCGTTCCAAAATAATCATCGATTTACGTAGAGAAAAATCATTATAAATAGATAAAATATAAAAAAATATAGAAATTTCTTTGCAATAAATTTTTATTATCAAATTATTATAGTGCTCTCTGAACTAAATGTATAATAATTATATATTAATTACGCATATACATACATATACATACGTTATAATATATCATTTAAATATGTAATTATAATATGTAATTAATTTCTATTAATATTTTTCTATTAATACTTTAATAATGGAATTCATTAATATAGTTTATCCTTCAATATATTAAATATATAGTAAATTTCCAATAAGGATATATAATAGAGAGATCTGCAATATCAATACAAAAGTAAGAATAAATCGTACTGTCGTAATACTTCGCTACTTTTAATATAAAAGAGATCGCGGCTGATTTTTGCTACTTTAATTTCTTCTCGATGGCATCCTTTTCAGTGGGAACGTAACATATCAAGATCAAGCCGAGAAGTACTAAGGAAGTCCCACACCACCAGGCCAATGATGTAGATTCGTCAAATACGATGAAGCCTACAAAAGCCTTCAACAGAAAATAAAACAGTTAAGTTCTATATTTTGAAAAATCTGAGAAAGAGAAAATAGTGAGATATTAAGATAAAAAATATATTTATATTACGTTTTTAAAGTTTTTAAAGAACTCCTAATAGTTTTAATTATATAAGAAAAAAAGATGTATATTGGCACGTGAATTTTATATTCTTATTTTACGATCTAAAAATTAAATATAAATACTGTAACATATTTATAATTATTTTCACATAATGCATTATACATTGTGGTATTTAATTTAGTTTATAATTAATAATACAAAATTTTGAGAGAGAAAAAGTCATTGCTGAAAGATCTGTATCTTTTTGCAAAAACATAATTAAAACAGTTCATCCAAGTAAAAATGAAAATTTAAATTTATTTTAACTATTGTATTATTTTGAAATAGTTTTTTCTTAACCATTTACAAAAAATTATAAAATTATATCTCGCCAATAATCTTGAATTTATATAATGTATAAAATAATGCTACATTTTAAGTCAATTAGATTCCAAATTAAATGAGTACTATTATTTCTGAGATATATGTCTTTACAAGAACATTGTAATTTTTATCTAATTAGGAGCAAATAATTATCCTTTTTATAAAACTAAAATTTTCTTATTTTTTGTATTTGAATATCGTTTGAAAAAAGTTGAAAAAAGTACTGCAGATTAATGAGATTGACGAACTACGTGTTTGACATAGATGATATGTAGAACAAACTATATAATAAATATATAACTTCATCGTTATTTTTCAAAGACTGCTCAGTCAGTAACGCTCTTATATCCCCACAAATCCAAACTTAATCTCGTAAATGTTTAATTTCACGCCGACACAATCAATATGCGGTCACGCTATCGACAGAGTGTGGATTAAATCCATTTCCGTAGAGAATTATAAAAATATTACAATTTGTATAAAAACGTGAAAGATATATCTAATTTCTTTTATTTCTATTCAACAGGCTAATAACTCATTCAAAATTTTACGTATATAAATAAGAGATGAATGTAATTTTTATAGAAAATACGAGAGAAAAATCGAACATATTTATTCTTCAATGAGAGAGAGAGAGAGAGACGATGAATATAATATTTCTATCGATCGTGTAATAATTCCGGCGTGTATGCATAAAGTGCACTATCTAGATTGCGTTTCAACAGCATATATCATATCGTGTACAGCTCTCCTTCAATCGCCACGTAGCTGTGCGCATATAATTGCTATGACCGCATTGTGCACGCTCGCGGAATTGCGTCTAGTTCGCGAAACAACTTTCACTCGTTGTGCGAACCGACTCTCGGAAATATATTAATCTGATTATATTGTTAGACATATAAGCGAACAATTGCGCGGTCTCTCTCTTCATGACAAATCTTCTTTTTCATATAAATTATTCTCTTCTGTCATTCCATTTCCAGTTACATTTTATCAAGACTTTCTCCAAAAAGTATTTATTCGATGTTTCTCGCGATATTTTAGTTTCCTTTATGATAAGCATTGAAGACACTCTCTGCCTGAAATTATAATGATAAATTCATCAATCGACTGTTTTCTTTAATTCATAATATATCATATATCAGAAAATATAATCATTAATTTTTAATTTACATATTATATATTTTTATAAACCACAAATTAAAATTCTTAAAGCATAATCTCTTTTTGAAGTAAATCGAGAAATGTATTATTAGTCTATTATTTATTTATGCTCCTAAAGTTTTTAATGTTTCCATTAAAATATTTTTTTCGTTGCTTGGAAACAATTGATATTTTAAAATCTTTGTTAAAGAGAGATTTGAATTAAGACCCTTGAAAAATTCATTTATTAAACTTAAGATTGCACTTTGCATTAAATTTATTAATTTGTTATTCAATGAAAATAATCGTATTATTTATAAGATTATCAACTCACTGAACAAATATAGTTTGTAGCCGCACTAGCGAGCGTCCCCGGCAAAGAAGAACCGCTGCCATGAAGCGCTTTGACAAAAAACGTGCATCCCACGGTGTTAGACACGATCATAAAGACCAGAAGCACTCCTTTTAGTAATAACGTCGCCTTTTTACAGGGGAGAAAATAGATATATAAAAATACATTACATTACTCCGATAATTATTTCAAGTAACTTACAATCTCGAATCTTTAATCTATCTTTAAGGTCCATTCTACAATGAGTCATTAGTCGTAAACAAATTGACCAATCACAGTCGATAATTTTCGAAATAATCCATTGTGATTGGTCAGTTTGCTTACGACTAATGACTCATTGTAAAATGGACCTAATTTTAATTTTCGAATATAAATTGATCGCAAAAAAAAGAAAGATCCCTTTCATATATTTTCTTCTTGTTATTTCTAATTTCGATTCCTTATTTTTTTTTATTGGCGAAATTCGAATCTGCCGCCAACTCACCAATGACGTTGCGTCAACAGCGCCGGCGAGTTTTCCCAAGAGGCTACCACCGGTCGCGAAAATGCCAGAGAGAACCGCGAGATGCGCCCCGCTACCGCGGTATCCTTCCATATCGGCAGGTAACCGAGGAGGATCGACGAGCGGCACTCAAGGTCGTTAACTAGGGGGGAAGACAGCTGGCAGTAAATTTGCACTTTTACCTGCTCGAAGCGGAGTTGGATTAAGTAGCTGGAACGGGACCGCGATTTCGAGCGTGATCGGAAACAATGGGGTGCGTTCAACGGGGAAAAACTGTCGTGATATATTCCTGCGACGCTCGACGCTGATTCGCTGGATCTGACAGTAGGAATCAATCATCGATTCGATGATACTACCGAGTAATTTCCGCCAAACGCGTCCAATGAACGTGATCAGCGAACAAGCATGCGCTTTATCGAGATAACCAAGGAAGCGCGTCTGCAGTTAAATCATCTTCGGAGTGCATCAGTTTATTGTTATGTCCAGGTCTGGTAAATGATAGGAAAATAGAACGAGTATACTTTATGCGTATAATATATCGAAAGCTTAAATGTTAGTTCAACAGGTGTACGAAATAAACGCATGCGATTTATCTTTCTCTTAAATCGTGACATTTCAATTTGACATTTATGTAATTTTTACGAGTCTTGTATAGTGAAAGATTTCGGAACATATTTTACAAGGACGAGATACGATATTTGCCATTTTTGCATATATTTAAAAAATTATTTTTATTCATATAAATAATTTTTATTCACATAAAATATATAAATAAATTGAAGCATATTATTTAAGCTCAATTTACATATTTGACAGAAGTATAATTGCGAGAAGGAAGGATGACAAAGAATGCAATAATTTTCATGATATCCATATCCAGATAACGAGACAACGATAACTCTGTTATTAAATTTCTCATATATAATTATAGAAATACGTGTTATATCGAAGGCGGAAATACAAGACGCGAAATGTGGAACGCGATCTAAAAATTTGAAATGCGCATATTAATCACCGAGGCGATCTGACACAAAAAAGAAAAAAAAGAAAACGGCAAACAAGAAGAGAAAAAAAACAGCTCCAAATCGCAACTGTTTGAAAATTCATCGGAGCGTAGAAGTTCCCACTCGTTCTTTATTATTATAAAAAAAAATCCGTTCAGATCGAGAGTAGTTCGACTTAGTCGCGAGTCGAGCGATATCTTGCTTATCGACCGGCTGACGCGGTAACGTCGGCAACAGTTACGTAACGGCGTCTGGTTCTCGCGACCGAGGGATCGACGTCGATCGGCGACGTTCGTTCGCGAGCCAGCTGGAGCGGGCCGGGGTCCTCGATCGGGCGCGGGGAGGGGAGAGACTAGACCGGAATGGAACAGGCGAGGGGCGAGGCGGGACGAGGCGCGCGCGCGCTCTCTCTCTCTCTCTCTCACTCCCTCGCAAGGTAGTTTAAAAATGGCGGACGACAGGTAGACGTTTCCGTCGCGGCTGCACGCGCTGCCAGGTACGGGAAACGCGCGCGCGCGTGCGAGTGTATTTTCAGCAGCGGCGGAGACGCGTCGCAGATCGACGTCCTCGACGCGGGTGGATCATGGTGCGATGAAGCCCGGCTCGCCTCGTCACCGTCGCTCGTTACATTCCGCTGGCGCGATCGCGAGCGCGGAGGGAGCGGGGGAGGAAGGAAAGCGGACCATCGTCGTCGTCTGCACCGCGTGTCGGGCCGCGCGCTCGCTTAAGTAAGTAAAGTGCGTGTGTGTGAAGAAAAGTACGCCAGGAGAAAATGACATACTCGCCTCCCCCGAGTCGATGTTCCTCTAAATCGCGCTCGATCGTCGATCCGTTTCTCCTACCTGGCGATTATCCTCGGCTTTCCACCTCGGGAAAGAGAGAGAGAGAGAGAGAGAGAGAGAGAGAGAAAGAGAGATCCTGCGCGATACGCACCGCTCGTCCTGGCCTTGATCGCGATGGCTTCGGTACCCTCGACGATATAATTGGCAGGAAGTAGGATCTATCCGCGCTCTCTCGCTCCGTGTCTTTCACGTTGCGCGAATCGTCGAGTTGTTCGTGAAACAAACGAGGGAAGAGTGCGATGAATTCTTCTGTGAGACCGTCGTGTCGCCTTGTCGATTATCCTACCTTACCGTAATGATGATTGACAAAATAATGCGCGCAAACAGATGCCAATTTAATAAATGATCCGCAAGTATTTCCCATTTTGTGCTTCCGCATTTTTCGCGTGGGTTTGTTATCGAAAATCGCGTAGGAGAATATTGAAAAGGAGATGCTCCTGATTTCAATCAATTAAATTGTGTTAAATCAATTGTACATTTTTATGTATGTTACTACAAATGCAGATTTCTCTCCTTGATACTGTTAATTCTTTATCTCTTTGGCAAAGAATAAATGTGGTATTATACATTTTGAATGAGTAATAGGCAAGATGTTTGTATCATTTATAAATTATCTCTGAGAGATATAAAACTTATATTGTACCAATGTACAGTTAGAATAAATATGTACACTCTTATATCTCCAATGACGCAATATATTACTTATATCAAGAGATTAAAGATAGAATTCATTATATATGCACATTACGCAGACATATATATACAATCTATTTATTTAATAAAAATTTTATGCTCAAGTTTGATTAAAAATATCAAAATTTTTGCAATATTAGAATAAAATACATAAAAAGCGACAAAATATATATACATGTATTGCATTAATTACATTCTAATTTTTCTCTGCAAAAAAATCTTGATACATTATTTATTAAATATTTTATTCTTTCAGGAATGTAATCTACATATTTTTTTATTATTGAATATTGTCACTTTATTTACAAGAGATTTCCTTAAAATTTTTAAGATAAATTATCTTATTTTCTAATAGAAAGAATTCCATACAAGAAACCCAATAATCTTAAAAAAATAATATATCAATGTCAAATTACTGTTACTACTTCTAGATAACTTTTTGTCAGCATGTATAAACATTTGTGCAAATATTTAATGTTTACTTACCTAAGTACTTGATAAGTTTTGCGAAGCACTAGAATAAAATATGCTATCATTCCTGCCAGATAACTCGGAAAAATCAATCAAGTTGCGTACATTGTTGAAATAAGTGAAAATTCTGATACCAGAATAATGTCCAGTATTTGTCCAAAAAGTTTAAATTATCTGAGAATGAGATCTTGGCTTTGTAACTGTAAAGGTAAAACTGTTTACGTTGTTTGTTGCAGAATCTTCTAATTATTCTGATTAAATGTTTTTTTTTAAATGTGTGGTTATTGAAGACAAAGGCATAAGTGGCTGTTGTAATAAAATTGAACATGGTTTGAGAATTTATATGCATGCTTTTTCTGGAGCAGATTTTTCATTTCTTTTATACAGTTGCATTATGTGTGTATGCATAAATATTGCATATGTATGTGCAAATGTCGGATATATATGCTTACATATTTGATAATATTCTGTTCTTTCTCTCTACTATAAACAGGTAAATATACCTGCACCAATTACAAACACGTAACAATGGAACACTCGGAGCTAGTGGCAGAGATGGTACACGTTGAAAGACTGACGACGCAAGAACGGTTACATTTGGCACGTCACCGTAGATTACAACAATTAAAAGTATGGAGACAACGTGAAAAGGAATGGTTACGACATCAAACTAGGCATACGAGTAATAAGCGGCACATATATTTTAGCGATAGTGTTATGTTATTAGAAGCTGCTGCAAGAAATGATATTGATGAAGGTAAGAGATTTTATACCTAGGAAATAAACATTGTCAGTATATTGAAAACACTTGTTTCTTTTTTAGTAAGACGACTTTTGAAGAAAGGGGTAAATCCAGACTCAACAAACGAAGATGGTTTGACGGCGCTACATCAGTGTTGCATAGATGATAATGAAGAAATGATGAAGTTACTTATTGAATTTGGTGCTAATGTAAATGCAGAAGATAGTGAAAAATGGACACCATTACATGCTGCTGCTACATGTGGTCATTTACACTTAGTCAAATATCTTATTGCCAGGGGTGCAAATTTATTAGCTGTTAATGCTGATGGCAATATGCCATATGATATTTGTGAAGATGAAAAAACATTGGATTGCATTGAAGGTGACAAGATTTTAAGCGCTATAACATTTGTTTAATATTGTCATTTTCAAACATATATGGTAGAAATAATAAATATCATTATGATATATATTTATACCAATTATATTTTTATAATATAGGAGAAATGGCGAGGCGAGGAGTTACTCAAGAATTAATAGATGAAACAAGAGCCTCAACCGAGGTTCAAATGTTACGGGATTTGCAAAAAATTGCTTCTTTAGGAGGTGATCTTGAATATAAAGATCATCAAGATGCTACACCTGTATGTATTTAGATTTTTTAAACTAAGAAAAAAATTGATTAATAAAAATTATTTACAATTGCGTAACTATATCACAATTTTTATTTTTACAGCTTCACATTGCAGCGGCAAATGGCTACTTACGAGTTGTAGAATTTCTTCTTGATCAACATGTATCAACAGATGTTGAAGATAATGATAAATGGCAGCCTGTTCACGCAGCTGCATGTTGGGGACATGTAAGCTTAATGTTAAAAAAATAAAACATCAAAATATTAGTTTAACACATTACATACAATGTTATGTTGCAGTTGGAAGTACTCGAGTTATTAGTGCAGAATGGAGCAGACCTAAATGCAAAGAATAAACACGACGAAACTCCCGCAGGTATAGATTGCCGATTTGTTTTGATTTGTGTTACATACATCTTGTTTAATTTCTTTTCACATCTTAATATGAAATATATGCGATACAGATATATGTGAAGATCCGGAAATTAGGGAGAGAATAGTGGAATTGAAAACGGAACAGGAGAGTAAACGACTTCGTGAAGCACAGGGACGGAGGGTGCGAAGATCACAGAGCATAAATACGCGGACACAGAGTGTGCGCCGGACATCTATTCGAGACAAAGTTCTTACTACTAAAAAAGATGCTCAAGAAGAAGCACGTTTCAGGTTACAAGCACAACAGGTACGGCATATTTTGCGACCTAACAATATCTTAAATATTTTCAATTTTTTTCTTGATATATATATATATATATATATATATATATATATATATATATATAGAACTTAATACTGAATATTGAAATTTGAAGATATAAATGAATAATACTGTCAAACATATTTCAGACATATGTTAGTGCTCCTGCGCCTAGTATTCCGCCATTGGAGAATAGTACACAGGAAGTAGGAGACCATGAGACTGATTCTAGCACATTGACACCAGCGGTGCGAAAAGGTCCTGAAGGAAAAGACAATGAGTCTTTCCTTCATGAAGATGTTGATAAAGATTCAGGTACATTCCAAATGCATTCTTACTTGCAATGGTTGTGGTTCAGTAGAATATTGTGATAAATGGTAGCTTTTTATGGTGCGGAGAGACTTCTCTGGAAAATATATTTTCCATCACGTCGTGATTCAAAAATTGCACATATGTATATATACATGTATATACATATCATGCTCATTTATTTATGTCCCATAAATTCTAAAGGAAACATAGGAAAGTATGTGAATATAAAATTAAAAAACAAATTTATATAAATCCACATAAACATATATATATATATATATATATATATATATATATATATATATGATGTATGTATATCTGTATATCACATGCTCCTTAAAATAAGGCAGAATTATTTTTATGCTGAGAATAATAATAATTATGAAATTACAAACATGGTATTTGAAGAGCAAACAGTGAATATTCGACACAAAGAAAAACAACTTTATATATATCGAGAAATACAAAATTTTACACATTCATAGAAAGAGAGAGGAAAAAATTGAATAGTTTTGGCAGATTAAATAGTCCCAAGCATATAGATTGTATATTAATCTGTTAATTGCAAAATCGCCATAAATGTACCGTGTTAAACTCACTGTGTTAGCTGTTCGATTATTTACCAGCTTTTTCTTTTTTTTCACTATTGCGTGCTCCTGAATAATTGCGAGGTTAGTTTTCTATGTCACTTTCCTATTTCTTTAATTATTACATTTCACGATTTCTACAATGCATTTAATTATGTTATCTTTTTTGTATCATACACGTCACACGATATGCCAAAAGTTATTTGCTCATAGTGTACGTACATTATCTACGTGTGCTACGCATAAACAACGCATTTTTCTCTCTAAAAAAAATTATTAAAATATACTTACACACATACACGCATCACATCTCGTTTTATCTACATTCAATCTTTTTGATAAGGCCTAAATGATACTGGCTTTCTTAGCATATCTTTGTGGACCGCGTGTTAGCAAAGCTTTGCGGTCATTGATACACAAGCGCAATATAGAGTAATAATCAAACGATATTTACTGTAGATATGTCAAATTGTTTCCATACTTTCTTACATAAACTGGAGCCTAATCGATTTAGAAAATTATACATACCATACTAGTAGGACGCACAATAAGTAGAATTTTGAAAGATATATTATTCTATACTCTTTATACATCTAGTATTATGTGCAAGTTTTTTTTTAGAATAAGTACATATTTAGAACATTGCTATTTTCACGTTTGGTAAATTTTTGTCGAATAATGCGCTCATAGTATAATGAGCGAATTTTGGGCCTAAAGCATGAAGTTGTGATCGCAATTCTCTACGAATTTTTATGTATATTCGTTATCAGATTTTTGAACGTCGATTGAAAGTCGACGTAGCAAACCATCCGCTAATGAATGTTTCATATCTATTATATTATTTAGTTGAAAAAAAAATGGCGATGAATTATACTACCGTTTATTTGATTGAGGTAGTCAATTTAAAAAATAAAAAAGAACATATCAGATATATAGTGAGAGCACGAACACTGAGTGAACAAATTACCAATGGACCTTTATATTTATTGTTTCCTAAATAATAATAACATTATACTCGAATTGTATTTGTAGATGAAATATTCTAAAATCACTTCGTTTTTCATTCGATGAGAGATCCCAATGATACATCATATTCATTATAACAACAATACGCGCGAATATAATTAGATCAAGAACAGTTTGTAGTAGCTGTTAAATGAATGGAGAAATTCCATTGTAGTAAAAATATGACATACAGATATATCATAGTCGTTTAAACACCGTTTCCTGCTCTTTGTAACGTGACAGCCGTGTTTACCATATACATATTGTCTCTCTGTCTCTCTCTTTCATATTTATTAGTTTGCTTGCGTAAAACGCAACCACTTATAATCACGTTTATCATAAATTTCGTTTAGTAATATACTGTGTACGTACACACCGAGATGTGCATATGGTGGTCCTTCTTGATGCAATGTTTTCGAAACGCTTGTTGCTAAAAAGAGCATGTAAGAGGCTTGGCGCATGAGATTCATAGTTGACATCCTCGTTTCTTTTTTTCTCTTTTTTTTAATTGTAATCAGTGCATAGGAATAGAAAGTTGGGTAAAGGTGAAGGGACGAAAAAGTGGCGATTGCGTCGATCGAAAAAGTCGGCACACTTGATGCGGGAGGGGGAGTAGCACATTGGATTTTTACGTGTTTGCCTGACAGCAGTGACAGGGCTTGACCCGCCGGTCGGCAGTCAGCAGCAGTCGCCGATTTATGCTACAGACAGCGATACCAACGGCAAGATCAACATACATGTGTCCGTTGTTTTCGTCAAATCCTTGTCAGATCTGAAGAAGCAGCGGGCGCAGAATCGGCACATATCCGGTGGCTCGCTGGACGCTAACGGAAATGGTATCACGATGCCGGTCTCGTCCATCTCCAATTCCGACCTCACCACCGACGACTTTACGCAACGCTTCACTGGCAATACTAGCGAGATTGTCAGCGACAATCACACGGAGAAGAACTGCTGTACCGTCATGTAACGCATTTATTTTAAAATACGCCTCCAATTTCGTTTTCCACCCCGTCTTCCTCACGCTATTGCGCCCGAGAATATTCGCAGACTGAACATTTGCGTTTCCCGCGAAAAATAAAAGGAAAAAATGAAAATGTGTTCCTGCGATTATCTTTTAGTATTTTTTTAGAGATTCAACGCTGTGTTCTGAAATTTTTACGATTTTGAAAATCGCACATATTCGATCCAATTCCGACGTGCGACATTTTTTATTATGTTTTTTAACTATTATATATAGCGTGACATATATATGTACATATGATACATGTATATCATAAATAATATGTGCAAAGCAAACTGGCAGCTTTAAATTTGAGACGATTGTCGTGATTCTGATAATGCACGAACGGCATGTACTTAAATCTCGTAACGAAATAGCTTTTTTCTGCAATTGTGGAACGAAATCGTGCATTGCAGCGTTTAAATAAGCTCGATGTCGACAAACGAGAACACCTTGTTACGATAAATTTAGGGAACGTGTACTTACACATTCGCAGAGAGATATTATTGCATTTTTCTTTAAATTATTTACAACTCTTTAACGCCTAAGACATTTAAGTATTGTACAGACTTTTACTTTTATTTATTGCTATATATTAAAAGAAATGTATAGATTATACAGTCTAGAAAGTAAGAAATGTCTATTACATTTGTAGAGGTACTGCTTAGATGCGAATTTTTTTCTAGTAATATCTTCGTAAACAGGTATAAGACTATCAAACTTCCAATGTTTTCTATGAGACTCTAGCTATAAGAGAATTAAGTGAAAAACGTTTTTTATATCGATTTAAAGATTATTTGTAAATTTTGATATGTAATATTTATCTGTATTACAACTATAGACTTCACCGAATTCTTCGTTTGCATGTGCGTATAGCAAGTCACGTACATCACATTTATGATTTACAACTTGCACCTGTTTTGCACCTTTGACGATATTTACGGCGTTTAAATTTGATATTGTGTATAGATATATTGTTCGAAATATATAAATATGTAAATTTTACGAAAAAAATTTATGTATCGTCAGATCCAACAATCAAAATGAAGTACAATAATGACAAATTTCAAAATACACTCGCGTATGTGCGTGCAGGATTATGTGTAAAAAATGAAATAATTCGTTTTTTTGGCAAACAGACATATTTTTTTATATGCGCTGTGTCAAATAATATTCAAATTTTAAAGAAACCTTTTGATGGGAATAAATAGTACAAATAAACGCTCATACATTCCTCCATGATGCAATAAAACGTTGCCAAATTCTATGTAATCCTCGACTACGATCGTATTTCATGATTTCATGATGATCCTAAATCTTACAATTGTGTTGATTGTAAAATTTTAATATTGCCATGATTATTCCAATGTAGTAAGTTTTGTTTATACTTGGTTTTGGTTTAAATATGAATGTCTATGGTGAAGATTGATTTCAATGGCTGTATTTAAAACGAATTTATGTGACATCTATCACCTGTTATGGTATTGTAATATATATAACGTTATACATATAAAATAAAATCACTGTATATATGTTATCTTATATTTTAATATTGTTTCTGATCCTCAAGTACGCGGTATATCAAATTCATATGTTCTCGATGTATTTCCTAATTATAAACGTTAATTAATTTTTCAATATGTGACCATCTTGAAATGTCTGTGAGGAATATTATAAATACATATTTCATTATTTATAATATTTTTCCACACAATTATATAGATTTTTTCTGAATTTTCTGTCCTATGTATGACGTGCTGCAACACACATGTGTATATTTAAAATATAATTTGCCATTATATGATGTGCTCACAGAAACGGTTTCCTTCTTCTTCAATTGTGGTGCTTTTGTGAATCATTCCGTCTTGTTATCAGCAGAAAATGTTTCTGCTTGTAAGACCAGACGCATAGGAGGTCAGAAATTGAATAGTGATGCTGATAATAGCCGGATGAGAGTCATGGTGATACGAGTTTGTGCGATGGCTTAGCGGCCAGAAGAGGAAGATTACATCAGTCGACTTTCAATTGAGAACTGAATTAATCAAGCATGTGCATCATTTGTCTTTTCTGATGCAATCACCGCGTTTCGTTCTATTCAGCTTTATTAAGGTTATCAATTGATAATAAACAAAAGCATGCTATTAAATAATCAAGTAATGTATATCTATGTCTGTAAAGTCCATTTTCAAAAATATTTATACGGAAATATTTATACGGAAAAAATCTATATATGATTTTTTTAAAATAAATAATTTGAAATATACATACACATTTGAATTATTTCATATAAAGCTAAACTTTTCGTATCTTTCTATCATAAAAAATGTTATTGTTTATTTAATTCTGTTTTTCTCTTAAATAGTCGAAAATTTGGCAATCAAGATCTATTTAAACTATTAGATTATTTATAAAAATAAACGTCTATTCATTTTATCCAGCATTTTATAAACACAAAAGGTAAAAATAAACATGATTTTTTTTTAAGAAATGCTATTTGCAAGAAGTTTATCTAGTGTCCTCGATCACCAGTATCCAACAATTACGAGGTCAATGGCGTCGAGTAATCATATTCTTCTTGTTCAAACGTGACAAATTTATGATATGTGTTACATCAGAGGAATAAATTATTCTCGTTTAAATATGTATTTAAAATTTATTTTCAAATTGTAACGATAAATTTTCAAATTAAATGTCATATTCTTAAAGACTATTTTTTATGCTTTTAAAAGTTAAAAAATTTTTGAATTAATAATTGTAAAATAAATTATATACACATACATATTATCATAAAAAAAATTCATTAAAAATAATTTGAATTTCATAAATAATTATTTTTAATAAAATTTTTGTCCGAAATTAATTACTAATAATTTATATTTATATTTATGGAGATGTAACATATAATTAGTCTAAATACATGTTTTAATGATTTCTAAATATTCAAAAGAATTTATGCTTAAAGTGTGATTTAATTTGTATAATTGTATGTCATAAAGAAAAAGATTTTATGCTATAATTTTAAGTAATATAAAATGATTTGAGATACAAAAGCTTGATTTGCCAGACTCGAGTTAAGACTTATACACATTTTTAATTTATATATTTTATATTATATAGTATAAACAATATCAAATAACAATGAAATTACAGTCTTTTTATTATTTGATTGATGTAAATTTATATATTAAAATATATATATATATGTATATATATATATATATATATATATATATATATATGTTTTGGTTAGTATTTTTTAATATTTATTTAGATATGGTGAGTTTTTAGAATTGATTTTAATCTTAAATTTGTTATGTGCGACTTAAAGTTTGCGTGAAAATATTTTTCAATTTATAATTAAGCTCTCTCGCAAAAAAAAAGAATAGTAACATAATAAGTAAATAAATAAAACAATATTTAAATGTATATTATTGTATATAAAAATATTAATTATGCAGTTTATATGTTAATATATATTATAAATAAAAAATATAAATTACTGAAACAATTATACAAAAAGAGAAGTTATTAACATTTACAAATTAATAAAACAATTATTTAAAATAATTAAAAAAAATAATACTATAATAATTTATAAAAATGATTAGCATATTTTTATATACATATATAATCACATAACTCTTTTTCTGTTTTCTCTTTCAAACAGTGAACAATGGAAAATGTTTTTCCGTGATATAATAGATAGTGAATTTGATTAGATACATTATTATAGATTATGTGCATTAAGTATCCTCGTTGAGTTTTCTGTATAGAAGTTTATATAACAAATTAAATTACTAAGTCCGATTCCTTAAACATCTCAATATGTAATGCATAACTTCCTTGCATAACTATAATATATAATATATATTTAATTGAAATTATAATAAATATTTAATATATATTTTATATATTTTTTTTCTAAATATAATAATTGTGTGTTTATGTAAAGATACGCATTGTTTCAATGTCAAGTAAATAAAAATAATGATAGGTTGACTTAGATCATTTTTTTCTCTTTAACTGAAATTTTTCATCAAATTTTCAAAATATTTCAAGAACTGATATAACAAAAAATCTAATCTATTTTTGTAATATCTGTATAATCATTTAATTATACAGATAACTATACATTTAACTATACATTATTATTTCGATTAATTCGATCAAGATAAAATTGGAATGCTGAAACTTGAAAACTAATTTGGTGAAAGTTTTGTGAAAGACACATTATATTATGTTACAATATACGGAAATAATATATAAGTATATGGAACACATATAATATTTTATTTTTATATTATATATATATATATATATATATATATATATATATAATGTGTAAAGAAAAAAATCAATAAAATATGAATAATATATAGATTTGATACAATTACAATTGAATAATTTAATTAATTTTCAAATTAATTTTCAAATTTATTCTATTTTATGAAGACAGATTATTATTGCAGATCAATAAAACAAAAGTGAATGTAAATTAATAATATTTTATATTAACATGTATATTTGATGTTACTTACGATTTTTTTTGTCATTTCTTTATTTTATCATACAATGACTTGTAAAATAAAATCAAAATGTAGAAAAGAGAAATATTTATTGAAGCGCGCACAGGAATCGACGTATGGCCGTTTAATATACAGAGTGGGAGAATAATGAATGATTGGTGGGGAGAGATATGTCTTGCTTGTGACGGACATAAAAACTGGTGCTCTCCATTACATATCGCAGTAAGTGGTACTACTCTAATTCCGTAAGGAAGGAATCCGGAGTGATTTCGGAAGATCTCGTTATTCGAACAAGATTTATTCGAAACAGCGATAATTTATTAAATTCTTCCAATTTTTTTGCATCGAATTCAAGGTAATACTTAATATAACGGACGAAGTTTCTATTTATTTTTTCAGAATTCTGTGAAAATATCTAAAATAATTGTATTTAATTATAATCGAAATAATATTTTAGCATAAAAATAAGTTTTTACTTATTGTTAGTAGAAATGTTTTTGATTAACATTTTGCTTAATTTATTACCTTAACAACACACATGTCCAAAAGACGTCCATAGAATATCTACAGGATAGCCAAAGGATATTTTATGTCCTTTGGATGCCCTCTCGATGACCTCTGGACATCTTTTGGACATGTGTGTTATTAGGGTAGGTATTCTCTTCATATAATACTTATAATATTATAATATTTAGATATAAAATTCTATTAATTTAAATTTATTTTTTCTATTAATCTGCAATAATCTGTCTCCATAATCATAAAATAATTAGAATAAATTCGAAAATTAATGTTTTTAAATTTCAATTGTATCTATATTATTTATATTTTTTTACTTTTTCTGACAATATATATTAAATACAATATATATATATATATATATATATATATATATATATATATATTGTATTTAATATAAATATAAAATATACGTTCTGTCTATTTATATATTACTTGTATATGATAACATATGTGTATTTTTCACAAAACTTTTTTTTATTTTGTTTGTACAATATTCTTCTTGTACAAAGATTCATATTAATCTTCTATGCATTTCGATTATACTGTGTAATAAATTCATCGAAGTTTTTTTCTAATAAGCCAAAACATATTATAAGATATCAAGATATCAACTATTACTTTCATCTATTACTTTATCAACTTTCTATTACTCTATCAACTTTCTATTACTTTATTAACTATTACTATTTAACTACTATTTAACTACTATTACTATTTATCAACTATTACTATTTAACTACTGCTTTTTTTACTATTTTTATATTTAATTTCATTTACGTTTGATTACATTTGATTACGTTTCCCCCAATTATAATCCATTAGAATCATTTTAGACATTTAAATATCGTAAAAAAAACAAAAGTTACATCTTTTTAAAATTCAACAAAAATCTAGTTATATCATTCCTCTCGTAGTTATATTATATTTCTCCTCGTTGGATGACGCTGCAAATGTCATTGCTAAAACGGATGAAAGAATATTTATAGAATTAGATGTGTGTTGTAATGTGTACAAGGACCGCTGGCAAAGAATATTCTTAGTCTTTTCAAGTGATTTCTGAGATATATTCTGATTTATAAATAATTTTGCAACTTGTGTATAATTTAAATAAAAAAAAGGACTGTACATACATGTCTATACTACATATTGCATGCGTCGAGTATCAAGATATTCAAATTGATAATAATCACACAATTGAGGAAGTTTTAATCCATAATATCACAACGTCCAATAAATTTAATCAAATTAACTTTTTTAGCTATTTATTAACGTATAAAGTATTTAACTGTTGAAATATATGTAGAGAATGGTCAGAATAACATAGACGTCTGTAGGTGATTTTAAGAAGCAATCATAAATCTCCATGATAATTTTTAGATAAAAGATAGACGAGGTGATATGAAATGTACATAATTGCTTTTTGCCTTTCAAATGATTAAATAACTAATTGATAAGTAACTGAATGTTATCTACTATCAGCTGCATCTTTTAAGACCTCCTGCGATTGCGATAAAATTGAGTATAGATAAAATGTTTTTATCTATACTTAAGTATGCTTTTAAGTAAGCTTGCAGACTCAAAATATTGATTATTATTAGAATTTATCTTTCGTGTATACCTATGTGCATCTAAATTTTTATATAATATGTAAATATACACATAATATATATATATAGTGTCACGCTATTTTTTTTATATGTTAATTTAAAATATATATAATATACTCATAAAAGATATGCGGTGTACATATGTATATCTTAAAAATATATGTCGACTTACATTAATAAATAGAGGAAAATAGAGATAAAACAAACGTCGATGCTTATCAGTTGTAATTTATTAAAAGCGTAAAATTTGCATTTTCATCTTTCTATTTTTATTATATGGGATTCTTACATCATCCCATATAGTCCTGCATATTAAAAAAATGAAATTTTAAAAATCTGACAAAAAATCGATACATCATATTTGATTTTATAAATTATAAAATATTATAAAAATATATATAATGCAATAAGTATCATCAATATTACGATAACAATAATTTTATCAAAGTTTTATTAGGGCGAATTATTTTGCACTAGTCTTTGCATTTGAAAATTAGTTTTTAATTATGCTATTCAATTCTAATTTATTCACCAAGTTATATTAATAAATAATTTTCTTCAATTATTTTGCTAATATAATTCAGCTTCCTTAATTGCAATTTTATTAAAATCAGTCTTAAAAAAAGAAGCTAACTCTATGACGTCAATTAAAAAAATTTTTAAACGTTATAAGGAGAACGGATGTTATCAAGAGAAATTTTATCAATTTTTTTTGCGTTCACGCGATTAAATATATCTTTGAATTAAAAATTTCAAATTACGAAACTCGACGATCTACGATCCACGCTTACCATGACGATAAGTTATTCGATCGCGATAAAAAATCTGCGATTGATAAATCTGACATTAGAATCAGCTGACCTTCGCAGGTTTCGTGCTTCAGCCACACGAGGTTTCGTGACGCGCATGTCGCCTCGTTGACGACCTCGGATTCTCGAGCGTGGTGTCCCGTTCAATGAGTTCGATGCGACACGTGTAGTCGAGAGCGGTTGAAAGACACCAACCGCGCGCTTTTCTTCCTTCTCGCTCGCTTTCATCGGTCCGTCCTCGTCTACGCTTACTTGATATCGCCCGTCTCGACAAGGTACCGGTTTGATACATACCGTGGAGTGGAAGTATTAAATGGAGGACAGTGGGTCGAGAATCTGTAGACGAATCGTAACCAAACTCGTCTGTTGGTGACTGAGGATGTTGCGATCATGTCGCGTGATGTTACCCATTTTATTTCCGTACCTCGTTCGAGCTGTTCTCACAAATAATTGCTCTATTTCGTCGTATCAATGCAACGCGTTTCTCACGTGTCCGATCGTTGAACGCAACAATGTTTGTCTGTTGAGTAGAATGCCAGGTCAGCTGGAAGAGATCAAGGGCCAGCGTGCCACTTTCGGCATGGGCTGCTTCTGGGCGGGGGATTCTCTCTTCGGGACGCTACCTGGAGTTATCAGGACCTGCGTGGGCTATGCTGGTGGCACCAAGGAGTCTCCCGTTTACAGAGACATGTAAATTTTCAATTTTGATGTTTAAAAATGTATAAGATTGCATGTAATAATCTCATTTTGATTGTTCTAGGGGTGACCATACAGAAGTCATTGATATCGAATATGATCCAGAATTAGTGTCTTATACACACTTGTTGAGCTTATTTTGGAACAATCATGAGTATGGTCTTACGACGAAGATTAAGAGACAGGTATTTTATTGATTTGTTATTTATATCTCATAATACATTATTTTCAATAGAAATAGATTTATTATATTTGAATAAGCCACATATATCATTTGCGTATTAATAATAAATGAAATTTAATTTTCAGTATATGTCATTAATTCTGTATCATAACGAAGAGCAACGATTATTAGCTGAAAAATCTCTCAAGCAAGAACAGAAACAGCGCGGGGAAGTTTTTATTACAGAGATTAAAAAGTTTACCAAATTTTATCCAGCAGAAGAGTAAGTTACCATATTTTGTAATCTAGTATACTTATATTACAATTACTTTTCTTATTTAGTAGAATAATAGGATATTATTTTATGCATGCTATATTATCTGCCTAGAATTATACAATCTACAGAATATAAATTTAGATAACTTTTATCATTCAATTCAGAATCAGTTATAATTTTATAATTTTAAATATTTTTATTTATGGTGGCATTCAAATTTTCAACGAATTTTTATATAATTAATTTTTATATAACGAATTTTATTATAATTATGATAAATATATACAAATCTCTCTCCTTTTTGACATATTTGTAAATAAATAAAATTAAGTTACAAAAATTTAACAAAAGCTGGTGTATTTAACAATGAAATATATATATGTACTATTTTGCAGCTATCATCAGAAGTATCGACTACAGAATCATCCATGGCTGATCGAGACACTGGGCCTCACCACATCAGAAATTTTACGCACCTCTCCTTTGGCAGCCAAGTTAAATGGTTATATAGCTGGTGCTGGTACTCTTGAACAATTTGAGAAGGAACTACCGAACTTGGGATTAAACGAGAAAACGACACAATATTTACAAAAATATATTATCCAGAATCAAGGCATCGGTTTATATTGTTAGCAAATCTAGTAAGAAAACAGGAAAAGACATTTTCTACTGTTAAACAGAGATGAATACTCATTACACAGTTCTTTTCCTCTTTTCTAAAGAGAATTTTATATAATAAATTTTATATTATAAATTTTTCTCCACATTTTTTCAAGATAGTTATTTTCTTTTTACTAGATAATTTTTTCTTGCACTGCTTTCATGCAAGAAATATATAATATTAGGTTAGCAAAATATGATTTTGCTATTACTTGCTATTAAATTCTTATTATATATGTATATCAAAATATTGCAATGATTCATTGCTAAATTAGAAAAATTTGTTATGTAATATTTAATTCAAAATTTGTACAAATATGTCAATTTATGTGATGCAATGAATTTACGCAATTCTCTTTATATATACATAAAAAAATAATATTTTTAACGGAATAGTGTTTTTACCGAGCCATGCAATAATTTTCATTTAATTCTATTGTCATAAAAATATTATACATACATTTTCGAGTAGATTTTAATTGTGAGAAGCTTCATTATAAAACAATATAATTCTATATAAATATTGTTATGAAAAGATTAGTTTCAACTAAATTTTAATTATAGAAGCTTTACTACAAAAATATGTAATCTTATATATAAATGATGATTATCTTTCCTTTCATTAAGAAAAAGTCTGTGTTAGTCAAAGACAGTATTGCCAATTTGTATCAAATCGAATCATCAATTTAAGAATACATAAATATAGCATAAGCTGTAGATATAATCGAGAATTTTTATATCTGATATAAAGGCAATAAGAGTTTTGGCATAGGCATAATAAAATACATAGATTAGCTTAAAAATATAAAGTTGAACAAATATGGTTTCTTACATATATGATAACTCGCAACACAGTTCTATTTTTTTCTTTTCTAAAGAAAATTTAGTTGACTTTATAATTCTATAGATTTATAGTTAATAGATTAAGCACTTCTGTAAGAAGTATAAAAACGATAAACAATAAAAATTGGATACTTTTCTTTTCCGATTATGTAGTTAGTGAGAAACAGAAAAGAAAATCGTTTTATATTTTTTATATTTTTTATTTCTTCTACATCGCGTAGTGTCAATCTATTATATAAATCTATAGTTTAGATATAAGAGGAATGAATCAAAGAATTGCTTGTATTTGTGGATGGCATATTCTATAAATTGAATATTGCTTAATGTGTCTCAAAATCATGTAGAAGGAATTGCTCAGAATCATGTAAAAGAAATTGCACACTGATTTAATATCCTTTTATCTTTTAAAGAACTCCTTTTACAAGTCTATGATTTGGGTATCCACTACCCAGGTAGCAAGATGACGTCTAAAGACGTCTTAAAGACGTCTATGACGTCTTTAAGACGTCTTTAAAACGTCTTTAGATGTCATTTTGCTACCTGGGTATACACATTTGAAATTGAATTTTATATGCCAAAGTTCAAATTTCTCTTTCCTCTTTCATTCTTTCAAAAAAATTTTACTATATATGGAAAGAATGTTTAAATAACATAAGATTAACTACAGTTTAATGTTATTAAAAGAGAGAGAATATGAGCAATATATATTTTATATAACATAAAATTTCAAAATATATTATAATCTTTTTAAAAATAAATATTTATTTTTTCTTTGCATTTTAAATGCCAACTGATAACGAACTTCAATTTTGAGAATTTTGACTCGAGATTCTACAATTCAGATAGTGATAAAAATAAATTTACAGAACAAAATAAGCAGTTGACAAATGGTTTGTTTCCATTTTGTTATTCGCTATTTGTACTGCTCATCTTTGATTTGTTTTGATTTACAAAATTATTTAGTATACACAAAAATATATTTATAATTTTATGATTATGTAAAATAATTTTGCTAGTTTAATTAAAAACTGTAACGAGGTGTTGTTTATCTCCTCAAATATAATATTGCTTTTCTTAAGCGATTTGAAACTGACGTTCTGTGTACATGTCCATTTTCCTCCAGTGGTACATATACATATCTTGAGCTATTGCGAGATACAACAATATTTAATTAATTAATTAATTAATTAATAATACGTACATTTGATAATATAAAATTGTATTCTTACTTTACACAGTCGTGGCTACTGTCTAACTGTGTTAACAAGTGTTCCAAAAGACCAATTTATTGACATTGGAATTTCTGCCTTACATATATGTAAATAAATATAAATCGTCAAACTTTCGAGAATTACAATATAAATGTTCTTAAAGATTATAATATATTTAACACACAAAATAGAAGTAAAAATATTTAAAAATTTTTAGAAATTGTGTATCTTAATATTTATTTTATTTTAATTAGTAAAATATATATTTTTTAATTTTATTTAATATTTTATAATTGTATATATATTATTTAATTTTTTCAAACTTTAGAAAGCGCTCTTTGCACAAAATAGAGAATAAACTAAAAATGAAATTTATTTCGCAAAGTTTAAACATTTTAATGATCAAAAAGAGATCGATGAAAAAAATCTAAATCCATTTCTTTATTGCTATATACTTTGTATTTGTTTCAATTTCACTATCTTTAAAGTTTATTTTCTATTTTCTATACAAGGCTTTATTACAATTTAAAAATATACTTTTGCCGCAAAACATATAAATTCGACATTTCTATGCACATGGTTTTGTAAATCTGAAAGCTACCGAAAGTAAACCGTTTCGTCGCAGCAAGTCGTTCTCATGAAATTAAAAAGCATGGATCGTATATTTTTTCGAGCGATGTCATCCTGAGCAAAGCAAAATATACGAGTCCCACGCCGCGAGCGATATTGAGTTTCTATGCATGTACATAAAGAAACGCATACACAAGCGGTGGAGACATACTTCAAAAGAAACTTTTTGAGAGAGAGAGAGAGAAAGAGAGTTACAATTCTCGTAAAAGCGATCGTTCATGTTAGTTACTACCGAAGGATAAAAGAGCTCTCTACCGATGTTTCGGAAATCTCGTTATTATGATAATAGCTAAATTAACGACAGGACGTAAATTTGCTGAAAAGCTTTGTTAACAAACGCCAAAAATGTTTTTTTAATTAGCAAAATAAGGTTTACTCTGAAAATTACAAAATAATGCTTTTTCCAAAGCAACATTTAATTGCATTATTTTAACTCATATTTTAACAAGATAAAGAAAAGCATTATTTTTATGCAATTCTTTTTTGAACAAATTTTAATTAAATTATATCATATTTATGACGAGCTGATAAAAAACTTGTAATTCTAAATTATATCAATTATAAAATATTTCAATGATATTAAAAGAATGAGGGATCTTGGATATACGTTACTGAAAGAGTATCATCTGTAAATAACAGTTTAATGAAAATGAATGGAAAAAATATGCAGTAAGAAAGTTCAATGTAAAATAAATCTTTGCAATCTAGTTTTCTTGTAAGAAATAATCAATAGTGTGACATGCTTAACAGTAGCTTCCCACGCGCGTAGATTGAATAATTTTTTGTAAGCATTTTTTATGGTACCTCGATGACGTGCAACGGATTTCCTTGATGAATATTATCTTCAAAGATGCGTTCCATTAATGTACACGATGCAGCTACTACATTTTTTTTTCAAGTCTTCGACTTAATTTCTTCTCTTTTACCCACTTTTTCAGTTTCGCAAAAATTGTGATACATTAAATTATATAAGAAATATATTTAATTGCATAAGTATATTACTTTTTTAATTTAATTAAAGTTTAATAAATATTTAAAGAAAATTAATTTCATTAAAAAATAGAGATTCTTAATTTTAATTTTCACGTTAATTCATTTGTCTGCTGTATAATATTAATGCGCAAATTTTTTTCCAATTATGGCGCGAATTGTATCAAATCTGATGTTTAAAAGTACCATTTTTGTCAATCGTCGTGTCTCGTGCTATACCGCGGGAAGACATTAGGACTGTATACGAGACGAGAGAAGATAACATGTCGGCTTGACAGCTGGCGGCGACGTAGGATCCGGTTCACACGACGTTTCGCTTTCCCTTCTCATCTTTGCGATGGAATTTCATAAACTCCGCGAAGAAATGTGCCTTCTCGTGTATTTTTTATTTTTTTCGCGCTTTTGTAATATGAGCATACGCGCACAAATAAATTTCTGACTGCATCTTTCATCAATATTCCATTATTTGAGTGTACCATATTACGCAAATACACATTGTATATTTCAAAATAAGAAAAAGAATATCTTCAATTTTTGATTGTATGTCTTGAAACTAATAGTTTTTAATATTTATTTAAAATGTAACTCATTTGTAGAATCTATTCATCTTTAAATATTGAATGCATGTCGGCATTTTTTATTTAAAAAACCTGTCCAGATATCTGTTATATCCAGTTTTTCTATTTCTATTATATTTTTCTTACATTCTTCTTATTACATTGAAGTAAACAACTTATTTATTTCAATTAAAGATTTAATTATTTTAAAGAAATGTATGTTTGTGTCATTTTCTTTAACCATTCTCCATTTGATATGGTCGAATTGCATCCTTCATGAATCAAGGACTTTTTATATATATTTTATATATTTTATTAGCGATGTATAAATATATGAATAAGTATTACTATTAATAATGGCAATAAATAGTAAATAAAAAAACACTAAACTCTTCATTCTTTTTCTGGACTTACATTCGAGGAAATACATATGTTCTATCTCCTGAGACTTTGTTCCTTTTTCTATCTCAATCAGTTTTGCCACATTAATTATCGTCACATTCATCATTGCGAATAAATTGCTGTGTATAAAAAATTAATGAGCTAGTTACATCATCTTGTCATCAAGAAAAATCTGTCAACAGACAAAGAAAAAAATTAAGATCTTATAATTACGCCAAAAACCTTCATGTAATTTTTTTTATTACTTACATAACTTTCGTGATAAATTGCCGTTATTTTTCTTTGGCTCCTCCATATTTCTCACAAACCATCGATTGGCGTATATATGAGTCGAAGAAATAGACGATACGGTAGTGACGACGTGACGACGCGACGTTTTGCGTCACCGTAGATTCCATTTATCCTTTCGTTTGTGTTTGTCATAGTCCTCCTTTTCGCCATCCGTCCGTCGTTCTCGTCGTCGTCTTGGTCCACGTATGACTTGACAGTCATAAAGACGACCGCTCGACCGACATCTGGCCTGACGCGCGCACTTTGTAGTCTCCTACCTATGCGTAAAAAGAGCCCCGGCGTGCATCGTCTTCAGGCTTTGCTGGTGTACAAGGATTGACAGAGCGAATCGTCGACGCTGTTCCTGTGCAGAAGATACACAAAGTGTATTCCGGATCGTTACATCGGTCTTTGTCCGCGTCCGCGAATCTTTGAATTCAATTGTCTCCTTTTCAATATAAATTTTATGATTCTGTAAAAAATGTAGATAAATTTTAAGGACATCTAATAGAAATTTGTTTCGCAAAATTAGAATTTAATATCTAAAAGTATTAGACATTTATTTTTATTATTATTCTTTATTATTATTCTTTTATTATTATTCTATTTTTATTATTATTTTTATTATTATTTCTATTTTTTTCAATTTTCTTGTACGGGATTAAATAAATTAATTTCGAAAAAAATATAAATAAATAAGAAGAAGATAAAGAAATAAAGGACCGAATGATCGCCCGGCCCGTTTGAAGTTTTCGATAAAACGGAATCAGACGTAGCGGAAGAAATGAAAGAAAACGTATTCTCTCTCTCTCTCTCTCTCTCTCTCTCTCTCTCTCTCTCTCCTCTATGAGTGCTCCCAAGAAATTTATAATTCGAACCGCCTGTCGGCAGCTAATTTCCTGTTTGGCGGGGGCGTGTCTATGGCCACAAGCGTTTTCTCGCGGTGTTAACCTGAGCGGTTGAGAATTTCCAATGAGATTCGGTCGGAGGGAGGAAGACGAAGAGAAGGAGGAAGAAAGAGAGCGCGGACTCGAGGTCTTCTCTTCGCACTTTTTTCGAAAATGGTGGTTGTAGCACTTCAGCGAAGCAGCTGCCAGCTATGGCAAGTCAAACGTTATGAGAAGAAATGATAATAAAATTGATGCATGTCGCAGCTGTTGAAAGGGACGATTCTTAGCGGTGCTTTTATTTCCATTTTTTTTAAGCTTTATATTCATTCATACGTGTCTATATTTTTTTCTTTACGCAATATATGCAAATTACACAGTTTTAATTATACTAAAATAATTTTTAAATAAATCTTAATTAAAAATTATTCGACAAAAATTTATATTAATAACTTAATTAAATAGAGCTAATATTTCAACGATTTAATAAAATTAAATATTTGATTAAATTAATGAATTCGATGGCCTATATTAAGTGTATCGTATCGTAAATAAATGTTCTCCACGTGGAGAGAAGGAGGTCGTCTTCTCTTCATTAACACATACTTCATCTCGGTGACGCATAATGAATCAGGCGTTCATATATCAGCTCGCAACAACTCTCGCGGTGTTTTTTCAAGAGGCTTGATTTATTTGCGTCGAAGAGGACAGGGAAGAAAACCATTCCAAACCGGTCGAGGGGAAGCGTTTTCGGTATCCGAATAAGAGAAGGGGACCATCCGCGAACCTCTGCGGTTGACTCCCTCGATCTTTCCAATGGACCAATCGACACACAACAACTAACTCTTTTTATTCCCCATAGGCGTGTACATCCCCTAGAAAGTCAGGGTGAGTCTTTTTTTCCAGGTTCAAATCTGCGGAGACGAGGTCTCCGTTCAAGATCACAAAGGTCGTGCGTGACCCTTTTTTTCGCGCGCAACCAGCAGAGCGCATCCCTCGAGAGCAAAACTGGCCCTTTTTTTTCTTCCCTTCTCGTCTCCCTGTCCGGAGAACGACGATACGCAGTCGCACAGGGGGCGGCGCTTTGCTTGTCGAAACGAGCCGCACACGCCGCCGCCGACGTAGTCTTCGTGCACCGTACTTCCGGTAAGAGAGACCGCGGCGTATAATTTTTCAGAATCTCTAATGCGCGTCGTAAATTATATATCCGGCGTCAAGCGCAAAAAGAGCGACGTCTCTTTCGATTTATCTCACAAAAAAATCGCAGCCTATTTTAATCTAGTTGTCCGTGTCTCTCAAAATTGGCTTGGTGCGTCTACGATTTTTTCTAAAGGAGAAAACAAAATTAAGATTATTCTTCTTTCTCGTATATTAATTAGATATGCATTTTCTACTAATTATTTAAAATATAACATTTTTTATATAATAATAATTATTATTATTATATATTTTATAATAATAATATATATAATTGTAATATTTTAATATAATAATAATAATAATAATATTCTATACATATGTATATAGAATAATATATTTGAAAAATAATTTTTAAAATACTTTTTTTGAAACGAACAGATTCAAACGAGGTTGCGAATATTCGGCGAAGAGTTCCAGTCCATGACCGCGCGTCGATCTTCTCGAGGGCTTCGTTGCGTGTCCTTTTTGTTCTTCCGTAACGAAAACGTATGAGCTTTCCTTGGCTCCGTCGAGCGCATCGACGCTGTCGACGAGAAGCGGTCGAGCGCGCCTATTAGTGGCCTTCGCGGTATCATAAAGTAAATCCTACAAAAAGTCGCGGGTGCTCTTTACGATCCCATCGTTTTCATGGGAGGCGCCGATGGCAGAGAGGGCCAAATTTATTACTTCCACGTTCCGATCTATTTTAATGGCAACGATGACTTTACTCACTTCGTCGCGTATCTGTCCATCTACGTCAGCCGGCAAAAAATAAAACATTTCTATCATTTTTAAAATATTTTTTATCGTCAACTTTTTAAATTATATTTTAATCCCCCTCTAGAGAATCGCGTTCGAGAAATTCATTCCTTTATTGGTCGCCGACAGGGGTTGCTCGACATTTTTCTTACAGGAAACATAATATTTCAGGGTTGGTGGGGAAGATACGCTCGATTATGAACGCGAGCTTTCTGTCATGTTGGCGCCAACAGGACGAGATGACTCCTCTCCCATTCTCGAATATTACCAAAATCAGCCGCTGTGTGCCAATTTCGAAACTCGGACTGGCTTGACTCTCGAAAGTGCCGAAAAGAGTAGGCGGAGATTCAGTCTCTCGTTTCATTCCTGGTCACAAATGCACTTAACGCGACTGCAACAAGTTACAAGAATTAGAGAAGAAAAAATTTTACAAATTCAACTAAAACTTTACGTTACGTAAACGTATATTATGTATTAATATAGTAAAATTAAATGCAATTTGTAATAAATAATTTTGAGTAGAACAGCAGATTTCACGAAGAAGAAAATTAAAGTTTAGAAAAATAGTAAATTTTGAAGCATTTTTTATGCAAGCGTTCGAATTATTCATATTACTGCACATATTATTAATATTACTAATAGTGTAATTGTCAATATTACTAACACTGTTTTAATATTTCTAATCTTAATAATTTATAAAAGAATTATTAAACAATTTTGTTTGTATTTATTACTATAATTACTTATAAATTTATTTGATGTTAAAAGACATTTTAAGACATTTAATCATATAACTTAATATGGTGTCAATAATAAAATTTGCATAACTGTGCGCGCAAAATGTAATTCCCAGAGAAAGAGAGAGAGAGAGAAAGTGTTCCTATAAATTCTCGCAAATTATAATAGGCATGAGACCACTTAGGCCAACGCGTACGACAGAGGCGAACAGCTGTTTCGTTGCAACGACGAAACGCGCAGCAGCCGGTTGCGCCTGTCTCCTCGTGATCCTCTGCAGCCAAGTCAACGTCATGCACCAAATGTGCAAGTGCGGTCTTCTCGGTGACACCTGCTTACAGATGTTCCAGATATCGTAAAACGACGCCGCTGAGTGATCCGAGCAATCGGTTCCGCGCGATTCACAATCGATTTCTCTGCTGTAAATCTATAACTTGTTATGTAAGCATTAATCGAGAGAATGCATTCATAAAATCTATTGTTGTCTATAAATTTTCGTATTTAATATAATATTTTAATATATATTATTTTTTAATTTCATGTGTTGTGAGATACTTGCCTAGATTTTTTCTTCTTATTCCGATAGATATATTTATACGAAATTTTTTAAAAATATCGTGTAATATATGCTTTTTAATATCTTTACCTTATTGTTAATAATATTTAAAGATTATAAATTATTTTATAGTAAATTATATAGATATAGTTATGTAAAATTCGATAAAAATTCTATCAAGTTTTATATACTTTTATATAAATGATTTTACGAAGAAAATGCAGGTGTGCTTCTCTCCCTCTCTCTATTATAGTTCAAGTGGGTGGAGTTACCTGACGTTGGGCAGGCACCTGTCTCATCACAGAACAGGTGATTACAGGTAACCAATCGCTGAATAAGATGCAAGTGACCAATCAAGGTATACAAACGTTATTTGTATACCTTGAAGAAGGAAGTGTCTTTTAAATTTTAGCCGATCGAAATAAAAAGTAAGAGACGCTGAAGAAGTGTCTTTTAAATTTTAGCCAATCAGAATAAAGAGTAGGAGACGCTGAAGAAAAAATGGTGAAATCACAGACTTCCTAGACGAATAAAATCTTTCTAAAAGATTCCAATTGTGGAGATTTTTTAAATTATTTATTAACTTTAACACATAGTTCAAGTGCTTTTTTTGTACTCCATTTTTTCATTTAGTCGATTTCTTATTTTTGATTTTCAGCTTGTGTTGAACGAAATTGTTCTTTATCCTTAATCCTGGTACACAAGAGGACACGTTTATCATTCTGTTTGTCATTCATATTTTCATTTAGTCGATTTCTTATTTTTGATTTTCAGCTTCTGTTGAACGAAATTGTTCTTCATCCTTAATCCTGGTACACAAGAGGACACGTTTATCATTCTGTCATTCGCGTATAGAGAGAGACTGAACATTGTCCTGAAAAAGCAACGATGAATCTTTTAACGAGAGGATTTCTTGAATGAGCTCACGGGGGAATTTTCAATAGCGGAAAGGACGAGAAAAAAAAATAAAGAACACGCTGTGTGCCATTATGTGCAGAAAAGTGTCGCGTGTCTGAAATGTTCGTTCTTGTGTTTCCAGAAATCAACAATCGCTCACCATCAAACTAACCTACGACCTGAGAGGGGCGGAAACGGTAAATGAGCTTACTGGGCGGATAAAAAAACGGCGGGTCATAATTCGCTTTGTCTTTGAGAAACAGTCATTTCCTCTGTCAAGTCTTGACAATCGGCAAATTCTATTCTAGCAACATTTACAACTATAATTTATAAAAAATTACATTCTAAGAA